TAAAATAAGCCAAGCAGGCATTACCCAGGAATATAAAATTAGCATTCAGCAGAGCCCAGCCACAAAGCTGCCCCATATGCAGAATAAAGCTCCTTCAGGGGGCCCTGCGCTATGCTTTAGGGTGGTAGATATTTTCCAAAGCAAAAATGAGTGTCCTTAATGTCAAGATTTGTCTTTGCTTCTACAAATAGCACTTTGTTTGACAGCTATTAAGTGGCATTAAAACCGCTTGAAGAGCTTATTAGTTTTACAACTTGGACATAATTATTTCAATCTCAATATAAACAATTCAGAGGGGGAAAGAGGGTGGGAGAAAGAAACGTGGAGCAGAACCAAATGTCGGAGAGAATTACAAAGCATCTGCACCCACTGAGTGCGAGGTGGAAAATAGAAATTATGCACAGGCAGGTGAGAGAGAGCAAAGGCCTGCTGTGATAGCTCCATTGCCTTAGCATTTCTTGAAAGTTTCCTGAAACAACAGTAGAGTCAAACGAAACGGCACAAAGGCACACAGCTTAGTTATTTCATTAGTAAACACCCTAAATAAACTGCTCCTTAAATACTCCTTAGAATATAGATTTATCTACGCTTTCCTTTCCTTTGAACCGTGTACAATTCCAAACACATGCTTTATGCCAAAAAACAAAGCAAAAATGAAAATGGAAAACTGGTGCAAAGCTGTCTTAAACAAAGTCATCATTTTCAAAGCGTCCTCTCCGGCTGGATTAAGAGGACCCTGACATTTGTTGGTAAACCCGTCAGAGTATTGATGAAGTGTTTCCTGTTAGTGTTCAATACTGCTGCAGCCAGTGCTGCAAGGCACGGCATCATGGAAACCTTGGATGGAGCCCAGAAACACAACAAGTCCTCCAGCTGACATAGGCACGTCGGTTGTTTGCTCTATGGAAACATCCCTTGTACAACATGTCATTTTTCAGTCTTCAGTTTGAAACAGCCACCAAGTTCTCTGAGAGAGGAAGTCTCTGTTTGTGTGTGTGCTTTAACTGCATACTAATGTGGTGCATGGGATCACATCACGAAGAAAACAGAAAGGAGCATATTGAGGCATGGATAATATTGGTGTGCTTTGTGCTATTCGTATCGTTCTTGTTTTTTTTCGTCACATCACCGCTCACTTTGTGTCTCTCTTCCTCTCGTCCTGAAAACTGAATATCAGTCAACTCAAAGCTCAAACAGTTTTTGGGAACATGCCTCGGTGTGTGGCTCAGGAATGCGCATGTGTGTCTGTGAGAATGAGGATGTGAGGATAATTTAATTATAGACCTGATAGAGCAGGTTACAGGGGTTAATATCCTGCATGCACTCTCCTCCTCTCCGGACACTGTAATTGCTTTAAGCACATTAGGAAGTTTATTGACTGCGATGGCCTTTTAAGACGTTACGTTTCTGCTGCTTAGTGTCATACAGAAGTCGTCCAGCTCTGCTTTCTGTCTCTGTCTCCCTCTATCTCTGCTACTGCTCCCCCAGCCTTCCCTCTCGTGTCAGTCTCTTTTTTTCTGCATGTGTCTCCCTGCTTGCGTCTGCTTAATTGAGGCTCCGTTAATATGATGAGATTTGTATAGCGGCTCATCCGTAGAGGCAGCTTGATGAGGTTTGACTGACAGGTGATTAACTCCTCTTAACCCACAGAATCATTTGTCCTCGGTGGAACAGTTGCACTAATGACACCATAAAAGGCTTCTTGATGTGTCAAATTCTGGAGCAGAGCTCAGGAGAGGGAGAGCTTCCAACAACTCCCTCGAAAAAGTGCAGCCTCCTCACTTCCTCTCAGCATAGATCAATCCCCTCCACCCCCCCACCATAGATGTCTCCATTTTCACTCATCTAGACCTCTTAATGAGGATAGAAGTGAATGGAAGGAGTTATTAAAAGGTCCCCACCTTTCTCCTGGGATTGCTGAAGAGGAATTATATGCAACGAAGCACACTTACATTTCCCCGTTTGAGTTGGTTCAGATTTCTGCCGCCATAAATCCACAGCTGAATACCGTCATGGCGGAGATGGCAGATCATTTCTAGCCAAGGAAGAATAGGGTTCCACTTCTTTTTGGTCAATGGATATGCTGGAAGACTTTTATGAGGAGCTTCAGGTGAGGAAAAATGAACATTACAGATTTGAGGCAGGGAGAGGATGAGCGATATGGGGAAAGTGATTGTGAGGAGAGGAGAAGCGAAAGAGCGCTGTCACAGCTGACAGGGAGCAGAGCCAAGCAATAACTACAGAAGATACAGCCAATGTGCAGAGATAAATGATGTAATATCTGCATGGATCAATGTCGCCGGTGTCTCTCTAAAAGGAGCTCTCTCTATAAATTACATCAGAGGCCTTTCTCTGCGCACAAATACACACATTTACACAACCAACACACTTAGATACCTCTTCCACAATTAGTATGAATTAAGACGTATAGCAGTAAAGTTCCTGTGTCTAGAGACAACTCTGTAAATGTCTTCCCCCAGCTGTCCAGTCCCATAACTATGCAGATGGTGGAAGGATGCAAAGAGTAAGTTTTCAGTATCCAGCTAATGACAAATCAAGTGGCCTGAGTTTTCCCATGAATCCCATCATGTCCACTCACATGATGAAACCAGGGGGCCATTAGGTGAATGTGAGCAATAGTACTGAGTGTCCTACTTTGGTGTCTTTGCTAATAGTTCCACCTTGTGGTAAGTTAGGTAATAACAGTTAGATTTGAGTCTGTGTCTGAGAGAATTTTTATTTATTTATTTTATTTTATCTTTTTATTTATTTTATTCTACCCGCTTGGGAATAATTGATATAGGGAATGGCTTGATGGATGAAATACTGATCTGTGCTCCACATATAATTAGATTTTCGTGATGTGAGCTCTTTCTGACTGAAGCCGCTATAGTTCAAAATGATCTATGGTTTTCTCTGTTGGAGGACTTCTCCTTTTAGGACTGATGGGTATGCTGCAAATCTACAAACCAACCTTACAGTCGAGTCATTTATGAAGCCGACTTTGGGATTATGATTTATTGAATTCACAAAATGAACTGCTGCATCCGTTGCCAGGACAGAAAAACTGCTACAAAGAGATAAGACTAAAGGATAGCTTAAACATGTTTTAAGAAATTGTAAACTCAGTGTCGATCAAACAGAAAAATGAAATATGGTGATATTTGATTTTAGTGCAGGTTTTCTTTTCCTACTAGTATTAGTACTAACTGGGTATTCATTAGAGCAACATTTAAGGAAACACTACCCCTATTTGTCTGACGTAAATTAGCAAAAATACTATGAGGTGCTTTTTGTAGTCTGATATGACAGAACTGGTCATATTAATGTTCAAAATACTGCATACTGAAACTTGCAATGCTGCTGTTGTGTCACCCTGCTTTGTAGACTGTCATTACTACCAGCTTCTTCCTTCCGTGCCCTAATCTTGATTGTCCAGCGCCCTCACCAGACGTCACCAGGCTCTATCTGCTATAGGATCAGCCCTGTTGTAATCTTCAGATTTTCATGCGGAATTTATTGAACTGTATGATGTATTTTCATGTGTATTGTTACAACACAATGGCATGTTAACCAGAAGGTAGCCCCTCTCTAAAGAACTGTCTACTGAACTACAAACTACAATTTACAAAATACACATGATGTTGTATTGAACGAGTTTTTAAACTATTGACAGAGACAAGATGAAAAATTAAGTGAACAGTAGGGCAATCATCTCAGTTCTACATAAACTTAACATTCCCTGTTTTCTGTCCAAGCTCTGGAGGTGCTCCATGGTGACCATTAAGTACCGTAGATTGCAGGTATAAAGCACTTGAATGGCTACATATTGTTGATTAAATTTCATGGCTTTATTAACCTTGATTTATTCAACCCTATTAGGACGTAGTTAAAATCACAATTGCTACTTGAAAATGAAGTCTCTGTGGTAACTTTTGTGCTGACGCAATACAGCCTACTTCATTTATGTGTTTTGTTTTTCATTTATGTCATCATTATTTTACACAAGGCATTGCCTGCATGAAAACAGCAGAGACAATTTGTGTCAATCTAAGTTATGGGATATAGAGAGAAATATGAGGCAGTTCTGTTCTGTCATTGTAAATCATTCTTGCCTTTGTTAAAGCAGGTGTCATATTTGTTTTAAAGGATGAATATAACACCTTGGAAATGTCATTAATGCATGGATTCAAGCGTGACTCAAATAGAAAGAAGCAAATAACAGAATCAAGCTTGATGAATGGTGATTTCTTTCTCTTCCTCTGTGTCAGCTGCTATTGGCTAAAAGCTCAATCACTCTGTTTTTATCCAGGCGAGAGGGTAGATATGAGTTTTTTTGTATTAGTGGGTATTGTCAATAACATATTTAAGGAGAAGTTAGAAAAGAAACTGAAAGGGAGAGGTAAAAAGGGTCACAAAACAAAGAGTTCTTTGTCCTCGGTGCACATCATATAACACAAGGCTGCATCTTTACGATGTGAATTGAGAGCAAGGCCATGTGGTCCTGGCCAGAGTTGCTAGGATTGGCGTCCCCCCTGGCTACCAAGCAAAAGAAAACTCCCAGAGCCATATATGGGCATATGTCTCACAGAGATGATGTCACCAATGACTGAAAGGGCTCCCTTTTCAGTTTCAGGATGGAAAGGGTGTGGGGGCTCCTCTTGGGCAGAGATAGTAGAGAGAATGCTGATAGCAGGGTGTGTGGCCACGAGGGAAACACAGCAGGTTATGCTTAATGGAATGAAACAGTAGAAGTAGAAACATGTTGGGCAATGATGACTGCATCCGGCTGAATAACTAAAGGGGAAATTAGCAAACTGTCGGAGAATGACACAGGACAAACTTGAACTGAATGCAGTAGTTGCTGTTGAGAAGGATTAGGGTCAAAGGACCAGCACTCAAGGAAAGTGAAAGATTAAAGAACTGGCAAGGACTGAAAGATAAGCAAAGGAGTGGCCTGTGTATTGTTGATCTTACTGAGGAGTTCCTGAGTCAGCACCATGGGAAAGTCAGGTGAGTGGAAACTGCAAACTGAAGTCTGTTACTTTGGTCTCCAGCAAGGTGAATTAGAACTCCCACCCTGTAAAATAATCTGTATGTAGGTATGTTTGAGCATGTAGTTTATTGCTAAAACTCTGTCAGTGGATATTTCAGCTGTTCACCAAAATAGCTCAGGGAACATTTACCACCATTAGCTAAATTTAGTTCCTCTCTCTCTCTTCTAACTTCAGACTGTTCGTTCTTTAATTCATGCAATGTGCTTAATTAAAGGCTGCACCATCTGCAGTTCTGTTTTGTCTATGTGAACATTTGAATGAGTCTATTGTGTGAGCACTCAAGCGATTGAGGGACTTATGAAAAGGCCAGTGAGTGATAGGCACGAGGCGACGAAGTGTGTGTGTGTGTGGATGGTCTAGATGACGTTTTCAGCTCCATCATCTGTCACCAAGTTGTTACTCACAGTCTGAGCTCAGCTAGTCAGTAAGTTCGAGCTCTGCAGTCATGCATGAGTCTTCACATTGAATCATTACAGTATGTCTCCTCTGTCACAGGGTGTCTAACTCTTCCTGTCTCTGTCCCCTCAGCCTCGAAGCAATTTGCTGAGGAGGTGCTGCAGTGCCATAATGAGTACAGGAAGAAGCACCAGGCTCCTCCACTGAAGCTGAGCAGCAAGCTGAGCAGAGAGGCTGCCCGGTGGGTTACTGCAGACACAGATCAAATCAAAAACTTAATTAGCGAGGACTATGTATATCAGTCATTGTCAAAGTGCAGCGGGTAACAGTGACAGCACCAGCTGAGCTTGTCAAGAGCAATAACCACAAAATGTTATCCATCTTGGCTCTACACGTGTTTATGATTACAGCTTGTATTGATCATTTGCTGCTTCTAGCAGCATCTGCTGTAACATTTTATTCAAATTAAGTTTGAATGTGATTTAATTTCCATCAGATTTCTAAGAACATTACGGCCAAATAAACCCAGAGACGCCACAGATTTATTCTTTTTCTCCATAAACCTGATCAGTGCAGTCGCCAGGGACTGAGGCAGCTCCCCAACACGAAAGTCTTTTAGATCATTTGCGCATGTATGTTTGACAGTTCAAAGGAACACCGACACAGCTAAGGACCGTCTCTGATTATGTTTCCCCCTTGGACCACATAACCAATGAAGGTGGGGAAACATTGCATTTGTCATCACGTGAATAGCTTTATTGCTTGTGATGTTTTAGAAAAAGAATGCTGTAAAAAGTTGGAGTGTGTGTGAAAATGTACAGGAGGGAATGCATACAGCCACACACTTCTGATTGCTCTGATTTTCTACACATATTAAAAGTGGTTTTAATGTTGTCAACTAAAGATGTGAAAGATTTTGCTTCAATGTTGCTTGATTGTCTCAATCATATGTAATTTAATCTTGTAATTTAAATTATTTTTCTGCTTCCCCCTTTCTGTTAACTTACATGTTTGTAAAAAGTTAAAGCTTCACTCTAGTACAGTGGTAAGGTGTAGGACATGGTCTATAATGTAGTGAGAGTTTATGTCTGAAGAGAAAAAAAGTAACTTTCACGATGCTAATATCACTGGAGAAGAGATTAACTTATGGTGGGATTCCATGATGACAAAGTTTTAAAAACCTGCTTTTGGTAGACATGTTAATAATCAGCTTTGTCACCTCTCAGTTACGCTGAGAGTTTGGCCAGCACACGAATCCTGAAGCACAGCGTGGAGTCCAGCAGAGGGAGCTGTGGAGAAAACCTGGCATGGGCCTCATACGATCAGACAGGTACACAGATACTAAAAACTATTGTTTCGAAACCCCTTAAGCAACAATTAATAGCATGAACTTCAGAGTCATTCTGTGGTGGACGTGTCTTTGGATGGAATTGCCAGAGCTGGACGGGAGCGTTCTTCTGCAGGAAATGTAGGAATGCGAGGTCTAGAATAAATATTCTGTATGAACAGCTGGGATCTATTTGTCCTCCACTTCAGACACCATGACTCACTGCTCAAATATCTGAGCACAGGCCATTCTGAGTAATTTGATCAGTGCAGAGGACTGTGACAAAAAAAAAGCGATAATTTTTAACATGTTGCAAACAGGGATTCATTACTCACAAAAGCTGCTGCTACATTTAGATATACATCATATGATTTATTTGATTGTCTTCTAAATTGATTCACGTTTTCTTTATGACACACATGCAGGGAAGGATGTAGCAGACCGCTGGTATGATGAAGTGAAACAATACAACTTCAATCATCCTGGATTCTCTTCAGGCACCGGTGAGTTTTTCTAAATTCCTGTCTGGTGTTACTTGTCTAGTTTAATCTCACCTTATGCTGCTTCCTCTGTCTCTATGTCACTTTCAGTTTCCATGTTGTCACTTTTTCTCTGCATGTCACACATATCCATATGTGAGGGAAGGTTGTGGTTATTCTTATGCTGATGCAATTGTGTGACTGTCTGACTCACTGACCAGCCAAGTGGAAACTGAGGGGATATCACAGTCTTGTATAATCACTCCCAAACCAGCATGCTGTGTTCAGTCTTCTCAAATTCATCCAGATGCTTTCCCATAACCTCAGATTCCAGCTGTGTGAGCCAGCGTAACTTGATACTAAATCATAAATCAAGCAGATCACTCATCGGTCACGGAGGTTTATACTCTGACCTGTGTGTGTTAAGTACTCTCATAGGAAAATAGACATGGCATAAAATAAAAATTCAGGGCTGATGAGAGGAAAATGGAATAAAGATTCCATCCATCCATCTATTTTCTGAACCACCTATTCCTAAATGGGATCTTGGGGGGACTGGAGCCTATCCCAGTAGGCAATGGGTGGCATGGTACACACTGGACAGTCCACCATCCAGAAAGGTCCTGGTTCCTCCGGGGACTTGAACCCAGAACCTTCTTGCTGTGAGGTGATGGTTATAAATAAAGATTCCTCTCTCTGTAGATATTTACATGAACTACTTAGTAAGAGCACCAGTTAGTTTCATCCATGTCCAAACAGTATATTTATCACTCCCACTCTATCTTTCTCCTCTAACTGCTTCCTAAATTTATCTTTTTTTTTTAGGCCATTTCACAGCAATGGTGTGGAAGAGCAGCACAAAACTGGGTGTGGGTAAGGCCACTGCATCAGATGGTTCATCCTTTGTGGTGGCTAGATATACCCCTGCAGGGAATATCACCAACCAGGGACACTTTGAAAACAATGTCCTCCCACCTAAGACCAGCTCCTGAAAGGATATGGATCCACTTTCCTTCAGTCGGGACCAGAGGCATTTATTCTGCTCTTCCAGGGGAGAAGGCATCTACCCTAACTGCTGTGGAAAATCCAGCCCATCTAACTGGATACAAAGCCACACCACAATATTTTAAAAGATGAATTGTGCTCAATTTGTCAATTAGTCCCTGTAAATGATTTGAAACTGTTGTTTTACTTTGCTAACACAATATTTCCAGTGACTATATTTCTTGATTATGTTAGTTGTTTTAATTTCCTGTGAAAATATTTCCTTCATTAACACAAGTTATTTTCTATATTGTAATTATAATTTCCTACACACTGAAATGCAGCAGACCTTCACTTTCTATGTAATAATGGGGGCTAATTCAGTCAACAGGATGCATTAACATGAAGTCGTTGCTGTAATTTGAAGCTGATGACCGAACGTGCCTGGAATGATAGTGTTTGCGGTGCGTTCTTGTGCGAGCATAACACATCAGTCCCATGTTGTGACTTGCACTCTGATCACTCTTGAACAATAAAGCCTGTCCGTGTCTAACTGTGTGATCAGATCTGAGTAGCATTGTAGTGAAGTGAGACACATCATTAAGATGTTCCGAAACATAAAAAACAACTAAATGCAATGGGTTTTTTTATTATGCCCTCTGGCATGCCTGTCTAATGCTGTCTTTGTATTTGTGTCTATATAAAAATGTTTGGGTATTGATCAACTATGTCTTTCATATCTTACATATGAACTGATGGAGAAAACGGAGGAATGCTAGAGCTTTTAAACATGTCTGTGAAGGGATCCCTGTGTCTCTAATTTCTCTTCCTCACAGTCAGACTCAGTGTTCAGTCAAAGCCCACGCTGGAATAGACTTTATTTAGCAGATACTGGGGATGCAACATACAGCAGCAGCGATACAGAAGAGTCAGTTTAAGTTGTCTAGGCTGGAACAAGGGAGTTGGGAATTGAATGATCCTCAGATCTCACTCACATGGTCAGCTCCTATGAGATGGAAAAAAGGAAGGACATGGGAGAGAATCAAGGTTTAATAAAACAAGCAACTTTAAAGTAGTAAAAAATGTAGTCCCCATAAAGAATAGAAAGCATTTTTATCTATGAAGAAAGACTGTATTCCTCACTGTGATTCATACACGTTTGCAGCACATCAATAAAAAAAGCATCTGCGCCACAGAGCGACTGGAGTAGAGCTCAGTGTTGCACGTTGCTGCCATCCAGTGGACATGACACTTCATTATTGAACTGTGGAGGTCTCTCAGTTACAAGGAAGAGGTTCTTTGTGTCATTTGTCCCCTGCTCTTTCTCCTCTACCCTCCCCCCCCCCGCCCTTCCTGCTCATTGGCTATGACTCATTATTTTGTTGACCATCTGCCCTCCCTTTATCCTCTCACTCTTTCCTCCCTCCTTTCATCCTCACCATGATTGCATTCACAATGTCATTCTTGTTGTGTTTCAGAGCACGGACGGCCTTGGCTCGTGACACGTTGGCCTGTGCCATCACCAGCTCAATGTCTCTCTGCTCGAGACCTCCCTCGTCCACCTGATGTTCACACAGACAGGAAAGAATGGGTGAAGTGAATGTTTTAGGAGGCCGAAATGTGCAAATAAGATGCATAGAACCAATAAACAATGAAAAACTGTTTTTACCTCCTCTTCCTCCTCTTCGCTCTCCTCCTTGATGGTGAGGCTGGGTGGGACAGGTGGGGCTAAAGGAGAGGAGGTCACAGGCACCTTGAATTTCTCTGCAGCTGCTTTGTGAGCCTGCTGAGATAGATCCTCAATCTGGAAAAGGAGATGAGAAGAAAAGTTAGGAGCAGTGCTGTACGCGTAATGAGGTTTTAATAATCAAATGGTGTACGTCATACCTTGGCCTCTCCAAATACAATGTAGATGTCTGACAAAGGGCTTTTGAATACATCAGGTCTGCTGATGACAAACAAGATACTCTTGGACTTCCTGATAGTGATTCTGGTCACACCGTGGACTGGCTTCAGACCCAGTTTAGACATGGCCTACACACAGGGAGAGACAATTAGAAAGAGTGTCTCACAAATTAAACAGTTGTGTCATATTTTTTCCTTCCTACTATATATTTGATTACATCTTGTCAGATCCTGTAATTTTAAAGCTGCTGGTTGTAATAGAAAACGCACATGAACAAAAATGTAATGAGTCCAGTTGAAAAAAAGTTCCTGATGTCCCCGATATTTTTTTTTCTAATTTGTCTGATCACAGAACAGTTTCCCATTTTGTTGTTTAAACTGTTCAACATTTTCTTTTTTATGCCATCAAATTTTCAATGAGCTTACATTTTCTATTATATGTTATGATGCCAGAATTGTTTTCCTTTACAAAAATATAAACAATCGGTCTATGAGATTTGTGAATCATTCTATCCTGTTTTTTTCCTTTTAACTTGTGGGGTCTGGTGTCATGTACAGCCACTAGTCTGACCTTCCGCGCCTTCTTCTCACTGCGGCTTTGTTTGGGTCTGTTCATAGCTTCATCTGCAGAGGATATAGACTGGGGAAAAAAATAAACACATGTTTTTGTCATTCCAGTCTGTTTCTTGAAAGATAAAACCTGGTTCCCATTAAAGACTCAATCAGACTCACGTGCGGGTCTGATGGTCTCAGGGGCTCTGGCTCTTCGAGCTCAGGCACAGAGCCTTCACTTTCAGACTCATTACAGGAAGCCAATATGGGACCTACAAAATGATATACTCCATAAACCCTCAGTGACAAGAAGCACGTTCTACCATCGAGACTACTAATAATATCATTGCAATAACGGCATAACAGAATGTTACCATTATCAAGAAAGTACAGGAGAATAAACTTTAATAATTACTGTCAGGTTTGACAACAAGAGAAAATGTCCTTCATGTAGCATCTTGCTGTCTAATTGTATGGTATGTCACTTTGTAATATTGATTAATAACAAGTTGATAAATGTAACGGAGCAACATAATTATGGTTTGCAAACAGCAGAAAAGAGAGAGCAGACAGAGAACAGGGTGGAGTTTATCACAGGGAGCTTTAGAAACTTAAGGGATTTCTCTATCCTTAAGGACATGAGAAGCAACTCACAGTTGTTTTTTAGGGAGAGGTCAGTCTCCTCAGATATGTTGTGACTGTGGTTGATCGGACAGCCAGGCTGTCTGTTGGCCCTTTGACGGGTAAAGAAAGGCTGGATTTCCTGTTGATTAGTTAGACCAGACTCATTCTGAGATGGCCCATTTCTGCTTCCTGGAACGCCTCTGGGCTGAGATCGCTGCGCCTGTCGGGAGCGTCCATCATCCCCTTCACTGTCTGTCTCCTCTTCAGCTAAATTTTGACCTTTTGGAGGATACATAGTCACATTTCTTTGGTTAAGAACTCCATGTTTGAATTTCTCCTAATTTTTCAGCCTTTAACAGAAATATAAAACCATTTTTTAAAAAGTAAATAAATTTTGACACACCAAGAATACATCAGACAACAAGTCACTGACAACAGTAACATTGTTCCTACTTGTTTGCATCCAACAATCTGAGAGCTGGGAATGCAATATTAACCTAACATAGAAATGTAGTCAATTTGTCTTTGCATTTTATGCAGCTATGTCAGTCTATGAAAAATGGTTATTTCGCTCACCTCTGCACCGATCTACGTCGCTCCCTGTGTGACCTCGGTTGGTTTGTTTGTGTGAGTGGATGTTGACAGTAGCCTGAGGCTGTGAGTTAGACTTGGATTCTGGATGGAAAGAAGAGTCGGGAGGACATACTGAGTCCGTGGCCCCAGTCTCTTGTGTAGCATTGGAAAGGTTTAATGGAATGGTATTGGACAGGATGTATGAAGACACACTCGTGGCAGCTGTTGTTGATGTAGAACAGACATCCATGGCTCGTCCATTGCTGCTGTTTGATGGAGATCCAGAATCAGAGGATTGCTGAATTTTGGTGAAGGCAGAGAAAACAGCAGAAGTGGTTTGACAAATGGACAGTGATGCTTGTTGTTGAGATGAGAGAGCAGGTTGGGATTCCTGCACAGGTGTGGATAGATCAGTGTCTGACTCTGTTGAGGCACGAGGTGGGGAGGTGGGGCATGAAGAAGAGAGTGGAATCAGAGAGTATGATTGGATATTCTGGGTTGGTTGGCTGGAGTTAATATCTATGTTGTTGTCATTAATGTCTACTCTTCCTCTCTGATTGTTAGCAAGTGGTCTGTTATCAAGCACTTCCTGGTTCTGCGGTATGTCTTGGTTCCCCATCACAACATTGAAGTTGTCTGGTCTTCTTGTTGTAGAGCTGCAGTGTCCTAGTATTGGACCTATGACACCAGTGTTGGAATTGTTATGTCCCTGCTCCTTTGAATCAGATTCAACTTTCTCCATCATAGATGTCCTCTGATGACCGACTGGTTTTGAAAAGTTGTTGTTTGCATTGTAGCCAATCTTAGGTTTAGAACTATCTGCAGCCCCCTCTGTCTGTCCATCTGATGTGTTCAATGAACAAGATGGTTTCTTTGGATCATCAACAAGTTCCATGCTGATGTCAGCATCACTTCCTGTTTGAGATGCTCTTTGTTTACTCTGCTTCCTCCTTCTCCCTTTTGTAGCAGCAGCTTGTGTGTCTGTGCAAATTTCATCTTTAGGAACATTACATGTAAAGTGCTCTGAGCCCTTCTGCGCAGAAGATGGTTTTCTTTCTTTTTTCGTCTTACTGTCTTTACTAACTTTCTCTCTGCCATGCTCTTTTTCTTCGTATTCATCATCTTCTTCCCCTGAGATACAAACAATACAAGACTGTCCCCTGAAGGCATCCTTAGTCTTTGGCTCTCTATCGTTTCCGTCTCCCACAGAACTGATGTCACTTTTTCTTTGGCCCTCCGTCGGAAGCTCAGCCACCTCTGTCTTTAAAAGAGGGACAGTGTTTTTCATCTTTTCTTCACAAGCACAGCTTGATCTAGAGATACCTGCCTTGTTTTTGGGAGTGAATAGCCCAAATGATCCCCGTGGCAACAAAAATGTGTCGCTCTGTGGAGGGACTGATTGACACTCTGGAGTGCTATTACATCCTGGTTCAGCTTTACTTGGTGAATCACAGCGTTTGGCAGTTGCTGCTGCATCAGCACTAGAGTCAACCATTGGTACTGGACTGGCACAAATGCCCTCCTCTGAAGCTGGTGCCTGTGTTATGTCTAATATTTGGTTCATGGGTCCCCTTGTTATTTCTTGATCCTCATCATGAGATTGCCCTGTTGTCAGAGGAGGCATCTCTTCAAGTGGAATATTAGAGACAGAATCTGTAACATTGACATTAACACTCTGGTGTCTTACTTCCTCTGACAAAGCATTCAGACTTCCATACAAGCCAACATCCATTGAATCGAAGGCAGAGTCATTTGAATTTCTCCAAGAGTCTAGGATTTGCGTTTGTGTGTTATAGTCTTCATTGTCTGGATTCAAATTACTGACAATATCTTGTGGTAATTGAAAACTTCCCTCTTCTCCTCCGCCTGCCTCTGAGATTTCTTCAATTGATTTCCAGTGAGTCAAGTTGGACTCAGAAACTCCCTCTGCAACCAATTCTTCATCCACCACTTGTTCTTTCTTTCCACTACTGTTGTTATTGTCCTCATTCAGAATAGAACGCAGAACATTGTCATAGTTTTTCGACACGTCAGTAACCGTGGCTGTTTGCATGCTTTGTTCCTCTCTACTGCACACCAAGCTCTCTGCCTTTATCTCATACCTTTTGCCCAGAGATAATGACAGGGAGTCTCCTGTTCCCCAGACATCGAAATCAGATCCAGAACTGAATCCTAAACCGACGCCCAGCCCCATTCTGGCATCACACCACGCCCCAGCTCCCGGAGCCATCTCTCTACTTGAGTCTGTTTCTGAATTTTCTCTTTTGGGTGAGATCGCAAGTGGGGAGTGTGAAGAGCCTATGGCACCCAGGACCCCCTCTTCAGCGCTCAGAGTGTTTTCCCTCAGGTTCTCCTGGGCAGAATCCCCAAGACAGTGTTCAGGAGTCAGAGCCAAGTTGTCAGACATTTCTGAGATGACTTCTGGAGAAGCAGAAACAGGGATATTACTTAGGTTGGGACTCGAGTCTTTAGGACAGGACAGAAGAAGAGGACCTTTATTCAAGTCATTGGTTGGAGAGACCATGTTTAATGGTGAACCGGCATCAGTGTTTCTAACGTCAACACTCACAGACTCAGCTGAAGTATTCCGATTCTTCTGGTCAAGCTCAGAGCCAGTCTCGCTGTGGACACATGGCCCAGACTGAGCCTCTCTTACCACAGGCACATCATATTGACCAGAGAAAGACTTTGACAGTGCAACTCTGCTTGCTCCTATGGTTCGTTGCCTTTCTGAGTTGTTATGACGGGACTTGATGAGCAATTTGAAAGAGTCCCTCTCAGGTTCTTTTGTCTGCTCTGTCTTCAAAACGGGGCTTTCCACAGGCAACTCTTCTGGAAGGGTTGAACTTGTTGGCTCTGTTGTCATCAATACATAAGGATAAATGGTTTGGGACTCAGTGGCAGATTCAGATGATGCATGGGTGACAACAGGAGTGTCAGATGGATTCAAATCAGGAAGAGCATTGTTCATCGTTTCTTTCTCTTCCACATTCTCGTGTGGGTTAATGGGGGACTCCAGCTGGCAAGAATGTGTCTCTGGAGAATGAAGCAGTCTCTGGTTATCCACAGGTTCAACTTTCATTTGCAAAGGTTTTGATTCCTCCAGTCTGCCGGTTGATTTCATTTCAGGGACTGATTCAGATTTTTCTGGTTCAGGGAAAGGTAAGGGGTCTCTCCTGTTGTCTGTGGGATGTGGAGTGACAGCTTCAAAAGGACAAGTGGGTTTGGGGTGATCTGCTAGCTTGTCAATGCTTGGTTTTGAATTAAAAGGTTCAGTTTGACCCAATTCCTGTGCAGATCCAGCATGGATTTCATCTAGTCCTTCTGCTGGTGTTGGTTCTAGTGATTGTGCATGCCTCTCAGTGCTGTATAGGGAGTCATCTTCCTCCCCATTATATGAGGCAGAATCCAATGAGTCATCTGTATCATCTTGAAAACAAAACGCTTCATCCAACCCCTCATTGATAGATGTTTCTGAAAGTGAGTGAAGGAATGATGCAGAGCTGTCCTCATCTGAAGGGTCTTCTACAGCTTTGTTTTCACACTCATCATTATCATCGTCTTCTTGGTCCTCTTTTTTTTCCTCTTCTCCTACCACTTTTACTTCTACTTTAGCCTCCTCACCAGCTTCTTCCAGTTTGTTGCTGTCATCACCTTTATCATTTTCCTCACCATCACTTTCATGAGAGGCTTCAGAGTTACCATCATCATAATTGTAATCATCATCATCATCTTCATCTTCATCGTCATCTTCCACATCTGCCTCCTCTTCTCCTGCTCCATATGCATCAACATCATTTTTTTCGTTTCTGTCGTTGACTTCTATTTCGCTTTCTTCCTCTGTGGGGAAGAGGGTGATTTCCATTGAGTCAGCCTTAAAGATTAGACTGGTGTGGAGCGGAAAGGAGATGAGTGAAGCTGGGATCATCCTTTCCTCATCTGCTAAATCATCAGCACATGCAGCCTGGGAGAGTAAGAAAGAACTCGGCCCAATACTGTCAAACACTCCAGGACAAAAGGCATCCAAGGGAAGAACTGGTGAGTCAGGGCTAATGCTAGAAGAGGCCATAGTCATATTCTCTGTCTCGGGAGTCATGGAAGTGGAAGGAAGATCTGACCCGGCATCCACTTGTGCATAGAGTTCATCTAATGCACATGCATCCAGTTGCAGTCTCAGGCCTGTCTGCATTGGTGTAGAATAGTCTTCCCCCACTGCACTGGCCTCATGGAGAGGGCAAAGTGAATTTTCAGACTCATTTTCATCATCCTGGGAGTCACTGCTACTGCTGCTCCTTATTGGGGATGTATTCTCATTCTCCCAGGAAGGATGACAGCTTTCTCTAGAATTGTTAATCTTCTCCCCCTTTTGAGGTTCATCCTCCTCAGGGATCACTGTGTCAGCCACACCTAACCGCGAATTCATGAAAAAATCCTCGGGGTGATACAGGCAGAAGTCCCCCGACCTCTCCTCCTCATGTTCAGGAGCCGGTCGTCCCTTTTCTTCCCCAACTTCATCCCCAATTTCTGACAGGGAGCTCACAAAGCAAGCAGGGGCCTCTTGTGTTTCTTCTGTAAGGAGAAGGTTGGGAGAAGCAGACGGAGAGGTCGAGGATGTATATGAGGACGTCCAGCTACCACCCTCTGCTGTGATGTAAGAACCCGAAGGAGAAGTAAGAGGAGAGCAGAGGTCCTCACTGTCAGAGGGGGAGCCGGGGGACAGAGGGGAGGCTGGGGAGCCGGGATATGAATGATGTTTAAGGTGCGTGGAGCGTGTAGTCATCTTGATTGGTGTGGACGGAGCAGTATAGTAAAGGTCTGGATCAAGAGATGAGGGAACTCCCACTCTCAGAGGGTCAACTGCACAGGATGGCTCAGAGAAGGACAAAGCAACTGGACAGGCCAGCTCAGAAAAAGAGAGTGAAGGCACTTCATCTTTGGAGAGGGTCTCTTCCTCCGCCTTGTTGTCTGTCACTTTGTTATCAGTAGGGACAAACTCTGGGGAAGAGGGTGAAATGTGAGTGATTGAGGGCTGTGCAGGGTCTTTTTCCTGATCTTCTGGTTTTTGAGAGATTTGTGATAGTTGTTCTTCTTTCCTGGATTCCAGTTGTGTGTCTTTTGCTTGTGGATGAGGGACCCTTGGAATATCTGGCAAAGGGATAGCCTGACCACCTGGTTGAACCAAGGGCTTTCCTTTCTGGATGTCTGCATTTCTGAGTAGCGTCTCTTCACCCATCACCACTCGCGTGTCAATGGTTTGCAGCTCTTGATAGTCACTCTCCACCTCAGAACCAGTCAGGACCTGGCAATAAAACATCAAACACACATGGAGAAGCTGACATGACAGCAGCAGTAAAACGCATATTGCCACATATGTCCTGTATAATCTGACACACAAACCTTTATTCTCTCCATTTTAACTGCGACATGGCGGCCACACGGTCCATGGCCACCTAATTTTCCAGACAGTCTGGCTGCGTTGCTGCGATGGTCGGAGCCCTCAGGCTGTGGCCTTGTAGTACCGGTGGAGCTGGGTGTCACATGACATAGTCGTGGTCCAAATGGAGAAGTACATGCTGGGAGAAGTTTCTGTGGAGTACTAGGAGAAGGGCTGGAACCACTGTCACTGGGAGAGGAGCCACAGTCACTAGGAGTAGAGTCAGTAGATGGGTGCCTAGTCATGTCTGAAAAGCAAGAAGATTCAGCCAACATTTTACATAATGGGAAGACATATACATACTTTAAATAAAGTTAAAATATAAACTCATATTACATTGGGTTGATTTAAACTTAAATAAGAAATAAACTAATAAATTATGTTCGAAATTGTGGAAGGATGTGCCTCTTCTTTTATATGTAATTATATGTGAACCTATGATCACAAAAATGTAATGAAAATGTCTTTCAATATCAAGACAATTGTGAAACTTTTACACAGCAAATAACTATGGAAAGATCAGTTTTGATCAGTGTTTACAACTACATAATTGTAGTGGTCCCTTGAGTGAGGAATGGTGCTTCTGTACAGACACAATCGTAAAGTTTTACATTTTTTGTGTATATGTCAAGCATGGAAAATTTCACAATTAGCCAGAAGCAAATTAACCACTGAGCTCTCTGTGTTCATGTCCTTCCAGGACATAAAACGTCATTGGGAATAGGGAAATGATTGAGATGAAACAGGGTAGGATATAGAAAACTGGGTCAGAGGAGAAATCAAGCATGGAAATGGAAATTCAAATCCAGTTCATCATCTGTTCAAATTCCAACAAACATTTTTTTTGTTTGTAAAGATTGCAACAAAACAAAACTATATATTGACTGTAATGTCCACAGAGGAGATACATTAAGTTCTTTCTTTTTTCTGCAGAGAACAGAACCTTCATTTACCTTCATTTTGCCACAGTGACCTCAGTCCACATGTCGATTGGCCATTAAAACACACAAGCATCTCAGCTCCGTGCCAGCCACAAACATGCACGTACATCCTCTCAAAGACACGCATACAAACACACATGTTTTGCTCTGCCAGGGATTCGGATCCACTTTCTCTTCCACTCTCTATTCTGTGGCTCTTCATCTCTCCTTCAGTTTCTCTCACAGTGTTTCATACAATTGTCTCTTTAGGTCTACATAAAGGTTTTAGTTTCAATTCCAAGGATCCTTGTCTTGCTTCTCCCTCTTTCTAATCTTAAGTTAATTACTCTGCACCCTTCCTGCTATCTTGCTATGCCTGTGGTATTGTCAGATGGACACATCAGCACTTAGCAGGTCTGTCTGGTTACTAGCTCAACATTACGAAAGGGTATTTGTGTGTGCTAAGTCATCCCTCAGATATATATATCTGGTTATAGACATACACAGTAAAAAGTCCACAAAATAAAGGTAAGTCCTTGCAGATTATGCAGCACAACTCGACATCAGTAAAATTCTCAATATGAATATGACAGTGATTGTTTCCACACAGGACAGATTAAGACAGATTCAGAGCTGATCATGCACACACACAAATACAAAAACATTTCCTCTAAAGCAACATCTCACTCACTGTGCAGACAAGATCACACTGAATGCATTTGGAAATAGTTCAAAGTATGTATAATTACACACTGATAACAGCTTTGCAATGGTTGCTAGTGACATGCTGCTTTATATGTGCCTGACTCTGATTTCTGTATGTAGTAACACAGCCGGATTGTGCACCCGGTTTGTTCTTCAAGAAGCAGGCCACAGCAAGTTGAGCAAACTGGAGCTGCGTCACAGAGGCTGCAGCACCACCCCCAAGGGGAGGCTCTGTTCGGCTATGGCTCAGGTTAGGCCACAAAAAAGACAGAGCATCAGTGTCGATACAGCCCCTTTGCTATATATAATTTATCCCTTTTCATAAACAGCATGCAATAACTTAGCATGAATCATTCTTCTTGCTTCATTCTGCCAAAATTTACTCTAAGATAGGAGAAAGAAATTCTATTCAAGTTCAAGAACAGACAAGGACAATGTTTAATTTAAAGCAGCAGTGCTAATAAAACAGCAAACAAAATGTATCCATCGAGAAGGCAGAGAATCATCATTATTGCCTCTTTCTCTCATCAGATCACTGTTACTCATTTCATGATTTGTAACTTTGGAGAGTGACAGAAAAACGTCTGGTTCGTTGCTGGTGTGAGGTTGTGTTTGCGTGTTGCAAAGTGTTTTGCCATGCTGCTGTGTCATGTTGCTGCTGAGGCTGGGGGAAGGGAGGAGCAACTCAGCAACGCTTTGCTCTTACAGCTTGCCAGACCGATGGAGATATGGTGGATGCGGATGTGGGATGAAGATGGGGTAGTGGGAGGAGGGATAGAGTTAAAAGGGCCAGGTTTTAGTGTAGTTCAAGAGGGGGGTGGGGGATGCAAAGAAGCTAAGATTTTAGAGCTCCACAGCCAAATTAATAATAAAGACTAAAAACCTCCATTTTGATGTTAAAGAATAAGCAGAGATGAGCTGAGAGTTGATTTCTAGGACTGGAGGCTTTGGGTGGGCTGCTTACAGCCAGGAGTGGGTAAGGGGCACAAAATGCAGTATAGTGAGGACACAAACATTCAACTGAATCAGAGCTCGCTCAGGCAACACATGTCAGCAGAGCAAAATGACCCATCTCCAAAATGAGAGTTCTACACATGGCACTTCTGAGCAGTGAGTGTTAACCTAACAACCCCCTTCGTCCTATTTGCTACGCTGTCTCTTACACTTTCTCTCCACATCTTCCCGTCCATTGGCTAATTTGATCTCTCCTCTCCATCATGGCTCGGTCTCTGTCTTCCAACATACATAGGAGCTTCATCCCCCCCAGTCTTCTTCCTCCATCCCCCAAACCCGGTGGTCCTACCTGGTCCTGGGAGCCCCGTTTCCTCGGCTCCCTGCTTGTCGGCGGGGACGGATCTGTGGGTGCTCTCTCCTGGCATGCTTCTCTCTGGCTCTGACGCAATGATAAACCATACAGCCAGAGCAGGCAAGGTGAAGAGGGAAAGAGGGAGCGAGATAAAAGACAAAAGGGAGGGGGGATCTTAATGCTCAGCGACCCAGCGCTCAGATCTTCCCCGCAGCACGTGTCTGCCTATGTGTGTGTGTGTGTGTGTGTGTGTGAGAGAGATGGACTGAGGAAGACAGAGAGCAAAAGAGGGAGAGTCAGAGAGAGGAGTGCGGGCTGGTCTCTTTCTGTGGTGCAGCACAGTGATGCTGCTGTTGTGGGCGTGTAATTTAAAGCCTCATGATCCTGTTCATCAGAATATATATGTGTGTGTGTGTGTGTGTGTGTGTGTGTTGAATCTGAGGGCAAGCTGCAGTATTCTCTCCTGATGCCCCTGTTCCAGCTTCTCTCCCTCCCCCTACATCCAAACCGTCCTCCCAGTATCTCTCTTCCCCATTAACCCCCCCTCACCCCCACTCCCTGCCAAGCAATGACTGGATCTTGAGAGATGATGTCAGCAGATTTGTGCTGATCTCTCAGTGCTGCCCCCAACCTTGAAGGAACAGAGCAGTACTGCAAAAACAAGAGCAAGATGGAGATTTCAAGAGAAGGTGGGGGATTCTAGGAAAACAAAACAGATCAAGAAAAGAGAAGCTAAAATCCCAGAGAAACAAAAGGGTGGAGGAGAACTCCTAATTAAGACACACTGTGTGCCTCCAGCTCTGACTATGTCCCTCTACGGTCAACAGAGAGACATTTCCCCTAAGAGCAACTAGAGCCTCTGCTTTTACCGTCCATCTTTAACCGTCATAAAGACAACTTACCTACATCAATATACATATGTATATATATATATATTTTTTTTTTTTTTCTTTTCACAGATAAACACAGAGGGGAAAAACTGAAACAGAGTCAAAAGGGGATCAGCCAAAATAATAATCGGTAATAAGTTATCTAGTTTCCATGACAACCCAAACTTCCAAAGACAGACAAGCATCTCAGAAAAATACTGATTGTAGAATAGTTGTATAAACTGTTCTCAGATATGGTGCCATACTAGAATACCCTAACCAGCACTATAGTGTCATTATTTACTTTTTTAGATTATAAACTTGCCTTGCCTGCTCTCTGCTTGCCCATCATGAGAAATGCTAACCATGAGAGAGGACTGCAATATTGGAAGTGCTCACAAAGCTCTTTTTCAACAGTCCATCAATCGATCCATTAATGTGACAATCAAGAATCGGGCATGGTGCCTCAGGATCATGTGACGACATATCTGAAAAGCAGTTAACGTACATTTCCTTTAGAGTCATTGAGCCATCAGATTTCACTTATCATTTTTCTTGTCTGTTTTTTTTAGTTAAAGACAGTTTTTCTACTGCACTTTAATTTCTGGTATGCCAGTGTTTTTTTCTTTAGGACAGGCTTTGATGTCTGAGTGCTGAATCGTATGAGGTTGTATAAGCACTCTAAGGTCAGCAGAGTTTCCCTTGCTATAGATCCCTGCCAAAGTCCTTCCAAACCCTGTACATTAAAGCACATCCATGGGTATATTTAAAAATGTATGTTCACATTTAACAGCTATTCGATGTTAACACTTTTTAATTTAATTTTAATCTTATTTTAATTTCATCACGGTCCTTATGAGTTAGTTAAATTAATTTTTAAAAAAGGCATTTCTGTTTACATAGCTGTGAGAAACCCTGTTTTGGTGATCCAGAAATAGGTGCTTATAGCACTGACACACTCAGACACAGCAGTACACTGAGATGGGGAAATAACTCTTACATGAGATATTGAGCATCGTCTCTCTAAATTAAAAAAATGATGTAATGTAGTCCAGACTGATCATTGTCAAAAGAAGATGTGAACATTACTGGATCCACAACTATCAGCAGAGAGGAAAAAGTTGGCAATAAAACAATTTATTCCATCATATGTTGACATACATTCACAGACATAGATATTTGGAGCTATTAACATCCTGATATTGAGTATCTTTTGACCATAATTCCAGATAAGACCACCACGTCTGTTTTGACAAATTACTCACACAAAGACTTGATCATAACAACCCCCTGTTGTTTAGTTATGTCTTTCTTGCTCAAAAACTCTTACTTGTCATCACCATGGAAACAGGGAAAACCCCACGTTACCAAGAGAACTGTATTGAAAATATGTTTCTTTGTTAAATACATTTTTTGCTATCCTGCTCCGTTCAGCGTGCAAACGTGGGTGGATGTGTGTATTCCCTGTGGTCCCATTTGACTGGGAAGGCTCTAATTTAGCTGAGCCTGCAAATGTCCCTCAGTTCACTTGGCCATTTCTTCGGCCACAGCCTTCCCCATTTTATCCTTCAGGTAGGCCAGTTTCTGCCAATCCGTCTTCAACTCCAGCCACTCGTAATACGGCACCTAAAAGAAGAATTTTGTTGTTAAGTTCATTATTTTGTTTATGTTGCCAAGTATTTTGAGACAACAGAAGGAAAAAAAAACATTTATTCCATGATCAAAGGACATCATGATGGTTTTTGGTCTCGATTAGATCTTGCCACTGCTGCTAATGGATGTTACTGTTCGCTAACGACATTGTCCTGGATCAGAGGGAGACAGAGCTGGGAATGGCCTAGATCAGCTGCGACTGGAGCTCTATTTATACCACGGACTGCAGTGGGGCCCACCTGAAACGCAGCTCCAGAAAAGTCTTCGATCTGTTGTGTGTGTGCTTTGGCCTGTAGGATGCAGCAGCAGCGGTAGGGCTGCTTTCTAGCCTCTGTTCACTGACACACCGCTCACTATCACGGCAAATGCAACACCCAAGCTTATTCCTGTCTAAACCGGCTTTGGCCTGCCGGTGTGGTTTGTCACACCTCCAGCCTCTTCCTACCTCTACAGTGATGAAGCCGGCCAACTGAAGATGTCGTTTCATCATGACAAAACGGCCAAGGAGGTCTCTGCTCTTTGAGCCAAAGTTTGGAAATTCCCAACCTAAGAAAGCTAGCCTGAAAAAAAACAGGAGGAGAAAAATCATGATAAGCGCTTACATTCAAAGGCAAGAAAGCAAAGACAAACATGTGACCAGCTCAAACATTTTATTTTCACAACTATTTTCCATCTATGTATATTTATGCCCATTAAAATTCACCTTTACAAAAGACTGACAAGGGCAGATATGATTTCTCTCCAGTCATAGGTAGGAATGCATTTCTACTTCAAGCGTAAACCAACGCGTTTAACACACTCAACCTGTGACTGTTAAACAGCCTCTAAGACTCACCTCTGAGCTCCGACAGGTAAATCCTGATCTCCCCCTCCGCTCACTAAGTGAGGGGCTTTCAGCACTGATATGTCAATTGGTTTGTTGTCAGAATCCACCACCATCTCACCGTCTGATTAAGAAGGAAGGCGTGTTAGGCGCAAACAAAAAGCTTCGTTTGTAGTTTTGATACAGGCACTGGCTTACCGATGGTCCATCCATACACGGTGTCAACCCCGGTGCGGAGGGCCTCTGCTTTCCCGCCCACCAGACTCTGTAAGGCCTCTCGTAGGCTAGTCTGTAGGACGGACAGAGGGGAGCTGCTGGCCGGGACAGGAAGGGTTCTCTCAGGGGAGCTGCTCTCTGTGGAACCCGGATGCTCCAAGTGAAGAGTGGCAGCCACATGCAACAGTTTCAGCTTATAGTTCTCCGCTCGAGCCGGATTGCCCTCTAAAGACCAAAAAAAAAAAAAAACAGAAACAGAAAAAGAGAGAGCAAGTGTTGGTGCGTGACTTTCATTAAAGCCTTTCAAAACTGCTCCAAGGATGTTTCAGCCATCAGAGGGAAATGTCTCATATCACAGGAGACTTCAGTGTTTTGCTGCCATCTACTGGGAATGCATTGTTTTTCATCCATCCATCCATCCATCCATCCATCCATTATCAATACCGCTTATTCCCTGATGGGGTCGCGGGGGGAACTGGAGCCTATCCCAGTGGTCAACGGGCGAGAGGCGGGGTACACCCTGGACAGTCCGCCAGTCCATCGCAGGGCAACACAGAGACACACAAGGACCAACAACCACACACACTCACATTCACTCCTAAGGGCAATTTCCCCAATCTCCAATCAGCCTAACATGCAGGTTTTTTGGACTGTGGGAGGAAGCCGGAGAACCCGGAGAGAACCCACGCAGACACAGGGAGAACATGCAAACTCCACCCAGAAAGGTCCTGGTTCCCCCGGGATTCGAACCCAGAACCCTCTTGCTGGGAGGCGACAGTGCTAACCACCACACCACCGTGCCGCCGCATTGTTTTTCAGTTATATATATTTACAAGCCCAGTGGGTTGAGTGCTCTGAGTCATTATTGAAGTTGGTATAAACATTTGTTTGGATTCAATGATTTTGTAACTACATCACTGACTTTTTTAAAATAGATCCAGATGATGAAAAATCATTTCTCTCTCATAAATAGTCTATTTATCAAAGACAGGGAAAAATAAAGAGGAAAAGGCAAGCCAGCACAGCCACACATTTTACCTGAGAGTTTAGCAACATGATTTTGTTGAATGAGCGGGATAATATAGCTGGGTTTGGCCTGCTGTAGCACACACAGAGACCAAACCACATCTGTTTGTAGAAAAGGCTCCAGGCCCTGGAGTGACGTGTCTAACGCAGCGTGAACCTTCATGGAGTGGGACACAGAGAATGCGTCAATGCTTTGCTTTACAGCCACCTGCTTTCAGCTAAAAAACTGCCTTCCTCATGATCGGTACCTTACTGTAGAACTCTTCCTCTTTGGGTTGGAAGCCCAGCCTGGCAAAAGTCATGAGCACATTGCACAGCTGGAGGATGCTATACTTCTCACTGTTGGCTGTGTAGTTCTGATGAGGACGTGTACAAAAAAGGAGACAAAAAGGATCTGAATTTAATCTGTGTCCACAGATAAAGCCTTTCAAAAGTAAATGAATCACAGGCAGTTCTGCGTATTACTGACCTCAGAGAAAGCCTCAAAGAGAGGCATGTGGAGCCATTTGAGGAAGCCCAGTGACTTAGCACAGCGTGTGACATCAGCAGGACTGAGCTCCGGGACTCTGGGCAGCAACTCACCGGCCATTCGTTGAAAAACCTGAGAGTGATTGAAATTAAGTTTCCCTGTGGAAGAGCAGAGGTAGAGGGTGTTACAGGCCATACAACACAATGGGTTATCTGGTAGTAAAAGCATGCTCTGAGATTATTTTCACACAAAGCCGAATTGTTTTATTCCAATTTGTCATCTTAAAGCATAAAACACACAAGGTCTCTGCATACCTTTGCATAACTTCAAAGGCAACAACCTACACTACACTACTGCTGTTCAATGAAAACCTATGATTTTGTGGGTTATTACCGTATGCGTAGGCTAAATCCATTATCAGTGGAGTGGTGAACTCTGACGAGGGCCTCTGGATGAGGTGGTAGGACAGAGCCCTGAGCAGTGGGACACTTCTGCGACTCTGAGCCGCCAAAGATGCACACACTTTACGGATTTCTTCAGCTGAAAAGCTCTCGGCAAGTTCCAAGGCCTTCAAAATAGACAGACAGAAGGTTTTCGATATGGTTTGGGGATTATGGACCAATGTTATCGACATTTATCACACTTCGGTTAGATTTATATAAAAAAATTATGATTTCTTCTGTAGTAGTTCCACTATCAGGAGGAACTCTGTGTGCTTGTTGATTATTTGTTTATAATCACACAGCTTCCAAACAAATGTTAATTCTTCAAATAGCTGACCTTCCAGAGAAACCAAAAAAACACCGAAATTTGTTCTCAATACATTTCTTCAGCTATAACACTCAGAGATTTACAAGAAAATGACCGTCATTGTTACGCTGTTATTGTTTTGGGTTTATCATTTAAATCTTCAGCTGGGTCAAAGGCAGTTTTAACTCTGATACCTTGTCTTCAAGTCTGTCCATTAAGGTGGGCGACATGTGCACTCCTTTAGATATTAATATGCTGACAGTTCTAGCTTCAGCGATTTCAGTCCAGCGCAGCTCCAGTTGTTTCAGAGCAGCTTTCACTATTGCAACATCCTGCGGCGCTTTCCTCGCTGCTCCCCAGTCTACCAGGTAGCCCAGCTGCTTGTATGTCAGCCTGCGAATTCTCCACAGGACCTCCGTTTGAACAGAACTGAGCACGGCATCGTTGGAAGGGACGCCAATAATCCAGAGAGTCCGTAAAACAGACACTAGATTACCGTTCCATACCGAGGCCACCTGCAGGGAAGATGCACACAGGAGTGAGACGACTACGCAAAGGTGTGAACCACCTAATTGGACGATCCTACAGGTTAGACAGAATGTCAAAAGACTTCCTTACCTTGCGGGATAGGGTATCCTTCATATTTTGAAGCCTTGAATCTGTCAACAGTTCTGACCGATGTTCTCTCAAATTCCCCTTTGTCTTCAGTATCAACTGGGTCCACTTCATCAGGGCAGAGGCAGCTTGGTTACCATTTCCTTTATACATTGCCCACGCTGACAGGACCTCCTCTGGTGCCGACGCTTTTTCCATGCACTCGTCCAGCGGAGTACGCAGTGGCACAGTTGGATACGGGTCTTCCTTGGGAGCTGTCCATTCGCACATTTGCCTCTCTGTGACCCATGGCCAGCCAGTAGCCCTCGGCACCTCCGCTGGTCCAGCCAAAGGGGCAGGAAGGCGGACGACAGCAACTGCTGGAGAGGAGGACCTGCAGAGCAGGCGGGCCCATCTGCCCAGAAGGCGGCAGGTCATTGGGTCTGAGAGACAAGGCTGAAGCCTCAGGCAAGAGAAGAAACGGCACGTTTCTCACAATTCAGCACCCGGCATCAACATCCCACATTAAACCTAGAAGCAGAACAAAAGTCATAATTTACTGTAACTGCAGAAAACATAAAAACAACAAGCTTTCCGACAGTCAACCATTATTAGATATCCACCTTCAGGACTTAACATAGTCACAATCAACATGGCTCAGTCTGTTGGGGTTGTCACAGGTTGTGTAACTAACACTCACCTGGGATAGGCTACACAAAACCAAAGCCGAATGCAGCCCCACGTTACATACCGTCTAAACTCTGAATGCACCTACGCCTGCTGTTTCTTTATGAATGGATCAGGCACACAGAAAACGCTGGTGCAGTCATGTAACAGTGAATCCTGACCTTGTGGAAATGAACGGTTGCGCATGAGCAACGAGGACCAGCGGCGTCTTTTCACGCCCATTTATTTTTCATTATCAAGTAAGACAGAAGACACAATACACAGAAGTGGCAGTTTTCACCATTCATCCACGATTTACCTTAATTTACGTTTTGAACAGGGAAATTCTTCTCACATGAGGAATGACTGTCGGAGGTGGTAGTCGCAGAAAATTGACGTCAACTGACGTTGGACACGTGATCTGCGGACGCTGCGACAATTGGCTAAAAGCTTCTTCTCGGGAAGGTTTCAGTTTGCACTGTTTCGATGAATTTATTACCAAAAAATGTCCAATGTAAATTTTAGGTTCAGGTTAACATTAATCATTATTATTATTATTCATTTTGAAATTGAATAAGAAACACTTGTTTGGATCGTAATTGCAGCAATATGAGCCAAGCTGCTATGAATTGAATCAAACTTACCCGAATAGTTTTTAAGGATTTCAATAGTTAAAGGACTCTCGTTTAAAGATAAATAAATGTCATGCACCGTTTTAATTTTTTTAAATATGCTGTATTGTGTCTTTAAACAGTGGCTCGGTCCTACATAGTGACTTTAGGATTTGCAGACTTGTTGAACGTGTTGAACACAAGATTTCAAAAACTGCTTGGAAAGATTGAATATTCAGACATATACAATCAGTTGTAGGACATGGTTTAAGTTATTTGTGTCCCACATAGCCTGGTTCATGAATAAAGACGGACAAATGAATTTGAAAAAAATACAGAGGTTTAATGGAAAGGTGATCACTTATTTCTAGCAGGGGATTGTTTTTCGGCAATACAAAGAAGAATTAAAGTGTGCCGTTTATTGCTCCAACTGTGATCGTGACAAATCCCAACCCCAATACCACTTTTACATTGCATTGCAGAGTTCACTGTATCTGAGGTGTGAAAAATATCTATTCCTTCCTCATGATTGTATATATCTAAAAGATAGCTAGAAATTGAACAAAAAAAAAACTGGAAAAACCTATTAATCAGTTGATGACTGAGCCAGTTAAAGTCTGATCTAAAATTAACTACAATTAAAAGTAAAATAGCAGTATATCATCAGTCATTTTTCCAACGCTTCAATTTTACTCATAAATGGTGGCAAGTGTCTTTGTTTTTTATTATTTCAAGAAAATGTGAATTTGATTATTTCAGCTTAACAGCTGCCGGTCTCATTACGTTATTTTTAACTAGAAATTAGATTAACGAGAACAAGTGAGTAGAAAAAGATGCATCTTTATGAGGCTTTATTATTTAATGCTTTATTAAAAAAAGATTTGCAGTTAATTTCATGTAATTCCAATATGTTTGCTGCTTTTGAAACATCCAAGCTTTATTACAGAAATGTAGACACATATTTCAACTTCTTTACACAATGTGCATAAATGACAGGACTCATACATTTAAAAATGAATTCACTTTAAGCTTTGGATTGTTACAGAAAATTTCAACCATCACTATTATCACCACATCACCAAAAGACTAATTTTGCAACAAAATTTGTTGCTATTTTTAAATCGTTCTACTGCTCTCTCTTCCTGTTCTCTACTCAACTTTCCAGATGGCGATTTTGCCATCGCGCCGTGCGGAGCCACTCAGGACATAGCGATCCTCAGCAGAGCAGAGTGTCTGGATGCTGTCAGAATGGGCCTGTAGTTCCTTTGCCACTGTGAGGCTGTCTGGGTCCACCACCATCACCTGGCTTCTCAGCTGACCGTCACACTGGCCTCCAACGCCACTACGTCCCCGGCAGCCCACCCAGATCTAAACAGAGGAAAGCTGGATAAGTGACTTCAGTAGAAATATGGGACCTATTGATAAATAGAACATCCTGAATTGCCCCCAGGGGTGAATGTGAGTGTATGGTCGGGTTGTCCTGGCGACCTGCCCAGGCTGTACCCCCCTCTCCAGTCCCCACATGATACAAGTAAAGGAGAATGAGGCTTTCACCTGAGATTGTTCAAACTAACCTGGTTTTTTACTCGAATCATACAGGTGATTCCTGAACTGGCTGGAAGGGGGATTCTTTTCAGTGGAGTTTTGTGGTTGTTAATGTGCCAGAGACACAATTCTGCTGAGTTTGGACAACCCGTCCACAGCTGCCCTCTCTGCAACACACAGTCCAAAGAGTTTGACATGGTGCACATAAAAGTATTTTCTATTTCTATCTAGGAAGCAATTATGGAAACAATAACACTGTTGCAGTTCTGCCTCTTCTTACTTAAGTGCTTGGGAAATGTCAGCAAATACTTGAGAGTAAAAAACCTAAAAACTGGCCAAGTAAACATTTTTACCATCTTTTGAAAACAGTTTAAATAACAGCATTAAATGGCTTAAAACTTTTAATTAAACTACTGTTTCAATACAGTGTTACAATACTTTTCTAACATTCAAAGAGTTAAGGAGACTTTAAGATGTTGCATCAAACCAGGCTTAAGATGTAAAATGACACATATCAAGGACTGTAAACTTCTGACATACTTGCAGATACTTGAAAAGTTACCTCTGGGATGACGATGAAACAGCTGAAGCTACTGAGCATGCTCCCTAACTCATCGGGAAGGGTTACTCTCCTATGGGGTGCTCCGCTCTTTTTCAGTTCCACAATGCTGTCACCACAACCTTCAAATACACAGAGAGTTACTCTCTGTAACCGGAAATAAACCTTGAAAAAAGTCAAAGTCATGGTCAGATCCTTTCTATCAGGATGCTGTAAAACATACAATAATATCTTTATAAAACAAAATAGAAGTAGAAGAAAATTCAACAGAATGCTGTTATATTGAATATTACATTAGATTAGAACGCTAACCAACATGAGATAGTAACCATTTGTCATCGGAAACCTGTAAAACATACTCACAGCACCACAGGGTGCCATCATACACCTGTATGGAGGAAAGGCGGTCGCAGGTGAGGTGGAACTGCTTCTTCACTTTAAGAGCTGACGAGTCCCATTGCAGGATGGTCCCATCACAACTGCAGGTGTACGTATGCTGACTGGGAAACAGAGAGGAGATGTTTCACAAAGTACTGCATGGGGTTCTGCAACAGATTTACTCTCAACTTCAGAAAACTATGTATTTCTGTGAAATTGGTGATTTCTGCACCTGTTGTGTTGATCTTTGGTGTCCACTGTGAAGCCAGTCACCTCATGTCGGTGTTCAGTCAGCTGCTTGTTGCACGACATGCTGTTGGTGTCAATGATGTAGATGACAGAGTCCAGAGAGCCAATCCACACCTGATCTTGGATCAGTCCCATCATGCAGGTCTGAAAAAATAATAAGAAATCAGCTCAGTTTCACCTACCTCAGTAAAATGCACTCCAGCTGATCAATAAATGTGAATGATTAGTACAATTACACGGCAACAGTCTCCTCAAAAGACTGCAAGAATGTCATTTCACAAAGTTGTGAAAAAACACCCAAATGGTAATGATTTAGAAGATGTGCACAGTTGAAAGCATAGCTTAATAAATAAATGCATTAAACTTAACCCGACAAAAGTATTCAAGAGCAAAATGTTTAGCCATCCGAAATTACCTCAAAATTAAGTGGTAGATTTTTTGTTTTAATCAAAGCTTTTATAATATGACAAATCATAAGACTAATTTCCCTCGTCTGCAGTTCACTGAACGCAGCATTTTCCACAAATTTATATAATGATTCAGAACAACATGTCTGCTCTCACCACTTGCACCTCTCCGACCTGAATGCAGTCATGCAGCATAGACCAGCTGGCTGCATCGAACACAACCACTTTACCCCCACTGAGAGCCACCCATAGCTTTGGGTTCATCTCATTCTGAGAGCCATTGCCGGTCAGCTGACCTGGAATAAGACACAAGCAGGTGAAGTTTTAGAGAAGTGGACAATAGGAGCAAAGATGCTCCTCTTTAGACAATTTCTTCTCAGTCATTTTGAAGCCTTATATAATTCAGCTAATTAGATATTTGAACTTCTTTTAAAGCTGTGCACTTTTTAATTAAGTTGGTCTATATCTTGAGCCCATTTGAAATTTAGTAAATTATATGTAGATTTATCATCTTATTCTTGACATAATTTAAAAGAAAATACTTGCTTTTTTTTTCAATTCCTGATGTACATTACATCTCAGCATTGGAATTATGCAAGTTGTCAAATCAAATAAAAACTGATTTGACGTGTGATAGGACACACTTTCCTCCCAGTGCATAAATAGGTCTTTTAAATGTAATTGTTTTGACATTCAATGTTGCACTTACAACAGGTCAGGTAAGTTTTGCTTTTTCAAAAAAGATTCCGTCTTTAAAAAAACTGCTATGAATTAAGTGAATCCATCGCTAAAGGTCTGCATTGTAGTTGCCTATTGAGATAAAATAAACTGAAACATTAATATTTGGAGTTTTGCTCATTTACTGTCCAAACACACTAAAAATATACTGCATACTCATCAAAAAGTAGTAGGATACCTGGCGTGTACAGCAGCACATGCACGGTTTGGGGCTCCGGCAGGTCCAGGGAGGGGTTAATCTTGTGCTTCAAAGTCTCTGAGGTAGTCTTAGGCACCATCATAGGCACTGGGCAGAATATATATTTAATCAATCAATAATTTTCTGCAGCAGATAGTGGAGAAGTGTAATGAGGGACATTTAGAAAATCACATTTATTCTGGTAAATGAGTGCTAGTTTCTCAGAGATCAACCTTTGTTGAACTTTAATTTAATTACAGAGGTTTTACAAGAATTATCTACATAATTCTGTAACTTGATAATTCTAAGAAAAACAAACAAACCTTACGGTCTTAATAATCTCCAAAACAGATTGAAACATTATCTTGATTATCAATCACAACACTGTTTAAATTTACTGCAATTTATAAAGGAAATTAACATTTTTAATGGGCTAGTCTAGTTTTATGACAGAGGAGGAAGGAAAATGTTTTAATGTCAGACCTTCATGCTTGATTTTATCAAAGTAAACCAGTTTTGTGGCAGCAGAGAGGGGTCTATGAGTCTGCAGGCAGCCCACAACAGCATCCATTAACAAGACATGGGTCAGAGCCTGAGTCATATACTGAGGGTCCTGGAGAGATAAAAAAGAGATAACAAAATAGCGTGAAATGGGTGAATACAGTGGTGAACGATAAACATAAATGATAAGTTACGCATAATTTACACCAACAAATTCCAGCAACTTGGCGTGCAGGCCATGCCTCTGTCATACCTTGTGCTGGTCTGCCATCTTACGCCCAGCCCACATCTCTTTGACCACAAGGTTCCAGAGTTCAGTCTCGGTTTTCAGGTTAGCCTCAAACACTTCAGGCCTACTGGACGTCTGGATACGAAGAGAGGGAATACGAACCAGCAGAAAAGGAGCAGAGCCCATCTTCACATCCTGCACAGAGATGGGGGGTGGGTCTTATTCAAAATGTGGCCCAGACAGCACAAAACTGCGTGGCGACTGACATTTTACCTGTATGTCTCGGAACTTTGTGATTTCCACGAAGCCGGGCTGTCCCTCGGTGAGCAAAAAGAGACGTTTCTGCGTCATGGCGATTTTACCTACTCCATGGGAAGTCTTGACACAGGACGACAGCTTGTAGACACACTCGCTGTTGTCAAGGTGGTTGATGACCTCAGAGGGCAGGTTAACATCTTGTGCTTCTGCCTCTGTCTCCTTCCAGACGGTGTAGAAATCTCGAAAGAGGTCGGGGTTCACCTGTTTTGGCTCGCCTGAAATAAAGAAGAGGGGCTGTTTGTAAATGAATATCAGTGTAAACTCAACTTTTTTTTGTTATTCAATACCAGTTCTTTACATTTTTCTGTTTGTCACTTAGTTTCTTTTTTTTTTTTTTTTTTACATTGTCCAAAATCTGACAGAGCTGCAGTACATTTCGGGATATTCAAATGTGTGGAACAGCAAGAGGGCACTGGGGAAAATTAGACGATAAAACACAAATGTCAAAACTATCAAAAGAGCTGGTCTGGTTTAACCTTTGGTCCTTGAATAGTGGGTTTTGTTCCTTATGTGTGAATTCTTCAAGTGATAAAAAAAGAAGAAAAAGAAATTCCCAGTAAACAAGGCATTGGTTACACTATTGAATACTGTCACACAGTTTTTCCCTCCATCCTGCCATGCATGATTGCCTTTCACATCAGATAAAAACCACAACATGGAGAAAAGAAAAGCAATTTTAATCTAAAAATACATTGAGTAGACTTACAACTAAAGCTGTGATTGTCTCGGTTAATTTAATTATCTTCAACACATGACACACACTTGTTTTTCCCTGATTTACTTTAAGATTTTTAGTAATCTCAATGTTCTTTGACACACTAGAAATGAGCTCACTGGAAATCAATCCATATCAATCTGCCTTTGAAAAGTCACCATGTTTAAAGTTTGAAATACAACATAATAAAACACAGAGACAAGCTGGCCTAAAGCTATACTTGACGTTTTTGCGTCTGAATAGCTGTTAAGGGTGATGAGAAGTAACCTAAAAAAGTGTTGGAGAGGAAATTGTGCTGCAGAAGCTAAACTGACCTGGGGCGCTCATGTGGCTGAGGCGGATTGTAGCCTATTTTCATATGTGTACTGAAGGGAAAATGTCTGAAAATACTCTTGCATTGCAGAGTGTAACAGATCATCTGACAGCTCTTTCCATCCAACTGCTGTTGTAATCGATTGAAAATTGTATCATGTAATGCAGTTGGAGGACAGAATCACTGGACAGTCCAACGTGCCAGCTCAGCTGAATTGAAAAAGAAGTCTGGGAAAAAGTCTATGAAAAACTGCTGATGCTGAAGCAGAACAAGTATAGTTACCACTCTCCTTTAGATCACTGTGTGCCACTGCAATTGCAAAAGGGAAAAAAACTACTTAAAAAATCTTTATCTAAACTATTCATATGAGCACTTCGGTCTTCTCTTACCGTCAGTGAGAGCATCAAATAAACGGTGGATTGTGGACACATCTTTAACAATTCCACACTCCTGAACACAGCGCACAAACTCATCCTGGTGCAGATTATCTCGAGGAAGTTCAAATCTTTTGACATGATCATCAGTCTGGATCACAGATTTCTCGTTTTCTGTCTTTACCTAATAAGGAGAGGAGGAAAAACAACAACAACAATCTCAAAGATTATCCATTATTATTTTCATAAACCTTTGTAGAATTCTGGGGAGTGTTCAACTGTAAGAGCAAATGTGAGAGCTGATGGACCTTGAAGATGAGTCTCTTTAGTTCTGGTCGTCTTTGGGCTTGCTGCCTCTCATCTCTGTGGAGAGAGTTCACCAGCCATGTGACTAAGTGTGTGGGGAAGATGGCTGTGTCAGTCTTGTAGAGATTCTGGAAATCACTCAGAGCCTCTAGTCGCCTTGAACACAACGTGTTGATGAAGCCACGTAAGTAGTAAAATCTACCGGGGGCACAATAAATTACAAAACAAAGGACAAGATCTTTATTAGGAGATAAATCTTTAAATGAGAATGATATGAGTTTCTGAGAGGTGGAAGCAAAAGATAAAGAATAATACAACCAGAATACCTTGCTAGTAGAGCAGAGTTCTCATTTTGGACTGACAAAATGGATTTTCCAAGCATCTGGATGAGCTCACTGTAATAACTTTGGACAGAGTGGAAAGACAGAGACACTGGGAAGTCTGGGAGTTTGAACACCTTTACAGGCTTAGGAGATGTTCTGAAAGCTAGATTGGGAGAGATGAGAATAAGCAGGCAGAAGACAAGGACAAGAAATGGAAGACAAAGAGAGCGTCAGGTGGCAGACATAACAAAATCCTTCAAGCATAGGCTTGCTTCATTTTGCACCCACATGTGTCCTATTTTTCTCAATACATTTTGACAAACTACACTATTTCTTTTCAGTTGTTTAATTAGCGGGAATATTTAAAGATTTAGGCAACATATATGAGAACTCTCACCTGAATCGGACATCATGATCCTGGTAAGCAGTGGGGTTCTTTGGAAGCCAATGGATTGGTCATCCCCCAAATTTGGGAGACTCATTCCCAGTCTCTTGTTCAGCCTGTTTTCTATGAGCGAGCTCTTTCTCCGGGCCTGAATCTCCTGCATTGTAGGTCTCCGTGGTACTTCAAGCATAGCTTTCAACCTACAGGACCCCAAGACAAAAAGAGTAATAAAGACTCAGGACTTGAATGTTTGCAGTACTATTGTTAGTGCATTCGTGACAAGGTCTTTTTTTAAAGGGTTAAGACTACACTTTTGAAAATTAGTCTATGTCAACAACATCATCAGTTAATCTGCAGCTTTCTATATGATTTACTCAGCAACATACTTGTGCATCTCAGAACGAGTGCTGATTTCCATTCGAGCAAAGTTGTCCATTTTCTTATTGAGACGTTCCCTGAGGAAGGAGTGAAAGATGTGTGTCTCCAAGACCTGCAACACAGCCATGTTCAATCAACATTTGCAAACAGCTAAATCGTCTTCTAATCATTTGAGGCATTGAGTTCGAACCACCTTCTTGTAAAAAAGTTGCTCGGTTGGCTCTCTAGATTTTAGGAACTCTTCACTGTGAAACACTCGATGATCATAATTCAGATGGCTGCTCACATCCCTGTTCAAAACATACACACACACTATGAATCCTGACTGCAACATATATCCAGCTTAAAAAGTAGATCCAGAATTCAGTCTTAGCATCCTAGAACCTGAATATATTGACGATAAGTTCAAGTGCAGTCCTCTGGATGTCATGATTGAGGCTGTACTGCCATGCTCTTCTCTGTGCACGATACTCATTGATCTCAGTGCAGCTTGCACGGTGACACTGATCCAAGTCAAAGTGTATCTGGAGTGACTGACACCTGCAAACATACTCAAATTACCCAAAACCCGCTGTTATCAGGTTTGAGTGAAACTTATCATGAAGTAAGTTGCTTTGTATTTTTGCACAAAATTCTTGGCATCAGGGGAAAAACTTTACCTTTGTGTGAAGCAGTCTGCAGCAGCTGGAGGGATGTCAGGCAGGTCAAGAGTATCAGACGAAGAAGAGGAAACGCTTCCATCATCAATATTAACTAAGATTAAATCATCAGTTTCCTGGAATAAATAGTCATGAAATTAGTTGGGGTTTTTTTGTTTTGTTTTTTTCAATGGGAGGGCGTACAAAACATATTTAATGTACACAACTACTAAATTCCTTTTCAACTGGAAGTAAGATGGCCTCTCGGCTTAAGCCTTCAAACACAAAAGACTTGTGTTTCTGATTTCTGTACAAAGTATGTTGATTTAGAGGAAAACAAACTTACAGCAGCAACTTCTGCAAAATGGCTGAGATGGCATCCCATAAGAAAGGCAGTTGGAGCCATAAGAAAGTCCAGCATGCCTCTGGCCAGGACAGGGACATAAGGATGCTGCCATAAAAAAGGCTGGAGAGTAAAAAAAACAAACACAGCAATGATTCAGTTACTACATTCATGTGACTACACAAATCAAGATTAAACACAGTTGTGAACTCGGAAGTTTTTTAAACTGACCTTCAGAAAGATGAACAAACTCTCTGCTATCAGTGTGAGTCTGGCCCAGTCAGCCGAAAACAAAACCACCCGCTGCTCCTGCAGGAGACACGACAGCACCTACAAACACGGGGGAGAGAGAAGAGGCATGACGGGTGCTACAAGGCTGTCAGCCGATGAATGCACAATGTGTGCGATACCTGCAGAAGCTGCTGTGGCCTGAAGCACAGGAGAGGCAGGTGGAGGTCTAAATCTACCGCCTGGAGGTCTTTGTCCTCACTTGAAGGTAATGCAATGGTTAGTGGACGTAATGTAAACATCTGGAAAACACACAAACAAAAAAACAAAAACAAAAAAAAAGCGTTAGTGGTTGAATTGACTTCATTCAATATTCAGCACGGTGCAAACTCAAAGTGGCCATTTTGATTCCTCAGTGGGTGGAAATCTGCACACACCAAATGTAGTTGTCCAGGAGGTGGAATCGGCACGAGTGTAAGTTTGGTTGCAAAATCCTTCACTCTGTCCTCCATGTCTGATAGCCGACAAGTTTGTAGCTGGATCAAAAGACTGGCAGAGAAGAAGAAAAAGCAATGCAAGGAAACCAGGTGACTTATTGTGTACACGATTAAGCTACTATAAACCTATTTAGAAAAAGATCAAAGTTAAGTTTCAGGAACACTGCAGCCATTAGAACATCAGGTTCATGAATATCGATCGAAAAAGAAACATGGAAAGCAAAACAACGAAACTCCAGCCAACGGATTTAGCCAAATGATTTGGTCCCTTATTCCGCTTCTCACCATGACAAGCAGTCTTTGAGCGCAGTGAAGTAAGGATACTTGGATATGACGCAGAAACTGTAGGCAGAGAAAATACATAATCTAGAAGATCCAGATCCGTTTTGATAGACAGATGCCCCCTCCTGTAAGAAATGACAATCCAAAAGTTACTGGCTTTCATTTTAGGTTGTAAAATTTACTGTTGGATACATTTTAACCAAAGTTCCCTCTAAGCTGCGCGCTTGCGCATTTGCGCACTGCTCCCACAGAAAATCTATGCAGCGCACACAATATAATTAAACCTGAACGGTAAATAAAATAAATACTTAACCATTTATTTTATTGGGAGCAGAACGTGGGAGCAGTGCGCGAATGTGCAAGCGCATCTTAGAGGGAACATTGATTTTAACTACAGCATTTAAAATGTTTAGCCTGACAGCTCCATGATTTATAGAGCCGGATGGGTTTAATTCAGAAAGTTTGACTGCCAAGTACTACATATAAAAGTGTGTACCATAACTGGGCGGTAGTATTGCATGACTACTCCATGGGTCTTGTTGCCAAAGACATCAGTGAAAACCAGGAAGTGGAACTGTTCACTTTTTTGTTCGCTAGTCACTTGCAGGCCACCTGGTTAGGGAAATAAAGACAAATAACAAGCAAAAGTACAAGGTCATTTCTGTGAGCCAAAATGAGGAAAATTGTGGTCAACGCAGCTACTTGATCTGAATACGCTGTGCAGCCATCACCACCAATCAGAAAAGTCTATGCTGACAGCTCTTTGAAATGAAACATGTTAACATATCTTCATAAAGTCAGAACTGACACCAATTTGAATAGAATCATCCTCAGTTCCTATGACATGGAAAGAAAAAAAACAGAGGCATACTTCCTTTAACAGTTACGGGAACTATATAAAAAAAAGTCCCTGCTGTCTCAACCTGTCTGACCTCGGTTACAGGGGGAAAAAGAGGAAGAAGATGATAAAGATGGCCCAAAAAAAAAAAAAAAAAAGTCCTTATGCCTGGCCCCTTGTTATCAAAACTCTGAACCGTTTTAACGATGACAAACATGTTTTGGCCAGTTTTCATACTGAACATGTTATCCACATCGTATGAGCCATCAAATGGATTCTATACCCGTCTCTACGTATGCACACAAGCAAAAAACTGTTACCAGGGAAACAGAGCTGAGGAAGAGCCATGAGGTCAATGTCTTTGGGTACACTGACATCGTCACCGCCTCCTCTTCCCTCTGGGACAACTCCACCTGCCAAATAAGAAGTGGCTCAAATAAAAAAAAGCAGCTAAATTCTTCGACAGCAATAGGATGGATGAAGTTAAGATGGCGCAGTCCTGAAGCTTTGGAAAGGCAGCCTGCTGGAGGCTCTGCAAACAGTCAGCAAAACACTGCTAGCTTTGATTTACCCGACGCGGCTACATGTGGGCCTGCGTGCACCAGACCTTGGTTGTGTGTTGCTGCAGCTGAAGAAGGCTGTTCCCTCTTCTTCCTGAGAAAGGAGCGCCGCCGCTTCCCTCGGGACTTCAGCACTTCACCCTCACCCTGAGGTCTGCTAACAAAGGGGGGTGCTAGTACATGAAGAACCTCCGGATCCAGCTGGAGCGGTTCTAGAGCTCCATGATGATTTACAGCCTGAGTGGGGAAACGGGGAGCAAAAACTGTCTCTTAGAATTTTGGATGCCGGTTCAGTGGATCCAAAGCATACGCACATTACACCCCCTCCTCTGGGATAGCAGAGGTTTTAGGATTAATCGCTGATCACGCTGTGTGACAGAATGAATGCAAACTGTAAAAAAGCAGGGGGATCTGTTTCATGATGGAAGCCATGAGTGGGAATTCTTGTATCAGATATATTTTCCACGCTGCAGCCTTATTACATTTGTCCTGTAAATTAATTTGATTTCTGGTGATAACACCCTAATCATGGCAGCACCTCAGAATGACAAGGCTCCGACTTTCATGTTCATTTGACTTCTTTAAGTTTGTTATCTTGTCATAGCAAACAGTGAGGCTTCTTGAAGTGCAGAGAGTTGCTGATTTAGGTAAACATATTTGTGTTTACACACACAGACACACTCGCCTGTCCATGTTTGAGAGCTGACTAAACTCAGTGTTGCCAATGGAATCACACAGACATGGCTTGACTTAATGTTAGAGATCCTCCACAACTGAGGCCACAGCGTGAATGTGCAGTAAAAATGTGATTTTAGCAGAGAAACCATTGCTTTTCAAGCTCACCAATCAACCTGCTCTGTTGTAACGTTTTAAAGAGAAAAAACATTTTATCAAGACAGCCATACTGTGCTGACATAGCACCTTAAAAGATAATACCAAAGTGCTACCTAACAGTTAAAACACAGGAGAGAAAGACAAGATCCCATGTGTAAAATCCATAAAACGTTCATAAAAGAGATAAATTAATATAGTCTAAAAACATACAGTAAAAACTGAATAAACATTCATCAATTCTGGAAATTGTACAAAAACGGCTTTTGAAAGCATTGAAAGTTGAAGTTACTGAAGGCAAAACTGCTTCTGGTATGTTTTTTCTGCTTCTTTCATTATTGCAAGATAATTCATTGAAACGTTCTGTGTTAAATAACAATATTAACACAGACTAAGATCTGTCTAATAAAGAATAACAAAGTGGGCTGATCATCTCAAACGCCACATTTATCCTGTAGTTCATTTTCATTTTATCCTGGCTTATTAGGTATGATAAAGAAATGGAATCAGACAGGGATGACTTCAACAGAAGGTACTCAGCTATAAATCAGCCAGTATTTTTTCTGCTGAATAGACAAGCAAACACCCTCTGTGTTAAATATAATCTTAATACCAAGGGATATGTTTGGATAGATTTGGATGTAGTCACCTGGTAGACTTCCAGAAGTTTGTCAGTGGATGCCCCCACCACCACGCAGGCTTCGAGGAGAGAAGGGTGCAGATAGTCTGTCATCACAGAGAGAAGTCCTGGACCCACTCACAGAACTCAGCCAACTGGGATGTGCTCAGTGACAATAACTTGAAAAAAATGGGGGGGGGGGGGAGAGCCAAATGATCTTATTCCTTCATTGAACTGTGAGCTAAGAAGGAAGCCAATTGTTTAAGGTCTCTCCACTCCATCATTCTGTGTTAAATAAAGTCTTATCACATGACTGAGTGGTTGTTCCAACACATTATAAGAGCTACAGTTTTTAGCAACGGCATGAGAACAGCTGGTTTGAATAAATTAATCAAAAAAGCAACGCTTTAGCTGGAAAGTTATATTTCCCACCATAAAATTAATCCGGGGTGAGGGTGCAAAAAAGATTTCTTGGCATATTCAAACTACAATATGTTCCCATAACAAAACTCTGGCTTTAGCCAGCATTTATTACATCATCATTGCATGGTGCACTTCGATTTTGTTCCACATGTGTTCTTACAACAGCTGCATTCGTCTTTTGCACATGTTTTCATGGTTGAGCTTCATTTCTAAACAAAGAACATTTCTGCAAACCATAGCTAAAGCTCATGTACAACAACTATAGAATATTCATGGTGCTTGAGTGCAGCAATTGGATTTGAGTCACGAAATCAATGAAGAAGTGCTTTTTTATATATTTAAAAACCATTATGATGGGTGTAAGGAACTGGCTCTAAAAGATATTTCACTCTTGTACACGAACATTCAAAGACCGCTAACGTCAGTGAGCAAATAAGCTGTCGTTGTTTCCAGAAACAGCTTCCTATCTAAATAGGGTCACTATATCATCCATTTATATTACGCTGGTTGCTGATGGCAAAGTGCCAAGCTAAGAAGTTCAATAAATCTAACTATGAAAGAAAAAACACACACAAAAGTTAAATAAGTCAAATAAAACATATCTTGCAGAGCTACCTGCTCCTGCTGATTTGTTGCAAGATGAGGTAGCTGGGTTTTCAACAACTTATATGCAAAACACTAAAAAGTGAACAAAAAAGCACAGTGAACAAAAAAAAAGCAAGGATGAAAAGACAAACACTCACTATCACAAACCTGATAAACAGATCTTTTAGTAGGACTTCTCCCTTTTACCGTAACAGATCTAAGCAAAGACGACCAACAACAGCAAGAACACAACTAAGATGATTAACTTTGCAGTATTTTTTTTTTTTAAAGATTTTTTTTGGCTCTAGTGGCCTTTAATGACAGTAGCTTGACAGGAAAGGGGGTAGAGATAGAGAGGGGGAGACCTGCGGGAAAGGGCCACGGGCTGGATTCGAACCCAGGCCGCCCGCTTGCGAGCAAAGGCTCTGTATATGGGCCGCCCGCTCTAGCCATTAGGCTATGGCTGCGGCCCAACTTTGCAGTATTTTGACATATTTCTGAGCATCAGCATTACACTAGGGCATAGGGAATTGCAAAGCACCAACCCTACGCATTTTCATAAGCACGCCAAAGCAATTAGGGCTTGATTTTGAGTGCGATTGGATGTACAGCAATTTATATGATTCTTCCAACTCAATGTCCGCATACATCAGTTAACATGGTGTGCCATTAATCACTCCTCTATACCAGGAACTAAACATAGCATTGCCATTTTTAGTCTGTTGCCCCCGTTAAGTTTTCTATATGAAAGAGATGCATTAAGCTGTGTTGGGGAAAATGTGAGCATGAAATAGGATTACCAGAGTTTCTACATCCCATCATTGGATATTACATTCTCTATCTCTCTCTGCTCCGTTTCTCTTTCCTTGCAACTAGTCACTACAGTGAGGAGAAAAGGATTTTTAATCAAATTTCCCCATTGGCCTATACACAGTCAAGTCTGTTCTTGGAAAATTGGGCTCATGTGTGCAGAAAAGAGGAACACATGAACAGAAAAGCAGACTGAACTGGACTTTGAGTGGACACATATATACATTTAGCGTGCTAACATCCATTCAACCTTTTAAGAGCTTTGCACGTATCTGCGAGAAACCGTTCCAAGTCTGTCAAGCTATTTTTTGAGAAACAAGATTTAGTTCTCAAGAGATTTTATAATATCGTTTGCAAATACATATTCAAAGTCCAAGAAATCTCAGAAATAAAATTTGATGTGTTTAAAATTCAATAAAAACTCACATTTAACACACACGCTGTCCACCTCACATAATGCAATACCTTGGTTTGCAATCAGTTGCGTCAACACCTGAAAAAGGCATATTTTATACATTCCTGGTTAGAGGGAGAACAGCTGTCCTCTTGAGTGATTGATAAGGCCATTGTAACATCCCAATATGTTCTTATCATGGTCATTTAGCTTTGTTGCCTCTCAGTGCTGGGGACCTCAAGCTGGAATTTTGTTCAGAGGGGAGCAAATGTGCCTTTAAAAAGACAGAAAACTAGTGTGAAGGCAAAGAGGACAAACAGACACAGGCCAGCATTCATAGAAATGGAGGCAACTGAAAGGGCTGTCTATTTCAAATCAAGCTGGTGTCAGAATCTGGGGGGGAAAAACAGACAAGGGGGGGAAAACAGATCTCAATCAATTAACTGTAAATAAAATATACAATTCCACGCCTGAAATTCAGCGCCTAGCAACTGACACGTGATGTCTCCTGATTTACAAACCCTCCTTTTACAGAAAATCCCATCGGTTCCGGTATTTTTCCAGTTTTCACAAAGAGTTGCAGCTTTTCTCCTAAGTTATTATGTTTGGAGCAACACATTTCACTTTCACTTTGTCTGTCCAGTTCCACGTTTTGTGTGGGTGATTAAACTTAGTCTCACCTGAGGAGGTCATGCAAACTTGCCTCTAGCTGATTTTGCATAGTTGAAAACAGATCAGGCAAATTTAAAGCTTGTCCATAAACCCACCTCTCTCCAATTCACCATAACACAAGGCAGGCTTTCATTGCCACATTGCTATAAGATTACATTATCTAACATCTATGGTATTTTTTTGTTGTTTGGTGCGTGAAAGTATTTCTTCCACTCAGGTTTTATTGTGACACGTGACCCCGAGTCACAAGCAGCACAGGTGAGGTGATGAGCTCTAAATTCTAATGGCTTACCGGCTTCACTTTGACCCTGGGGTGGCTTCGCTCTTAGGGTTTCGTGCTACTGACCTTCTCGGAGTCCTCCGTGCGGTTCCTTATCTCTCCCCCGGCTCTTCCATAGTGGAGCCAGAGCTCCACTGACTCCCACTGCTCGCGCGGCAGACTCCGCCTGCGGCCCAGTGTGCCGCTCCGCTCCCAGATCCCACAAACTCACCCGCAGCCCGCTTCCGGTTTCTCTCTGGACCTTTAAACATGCGGATTAACCGTTTGAGAGGCACCGCAGAAGATTAAAATAGAAGAGATCCTTAACTCACGAAGCCCCAAAAGCTCCAATTCATAACAGAGGCTGGTGAACAACCGTAAATAAAGACAGAAAAGACTTTACCGATTTCATTATAAAGTGGACTGTACTAACTTATTCTGGCCTGAGGGTGGAGACAGTTAACCAATTAAATAGAATATGTTCTCAGCAAAAAAAGCCTATTTTGCTGACTTTACATTTCTTATCATATGTAAGGTCAGTTTCAGTCTCCATATAAACACTCCAAACAAACAGAAGTAAACTAATCAAGTAAACAATTACATTTTTTTTAGTGATCATAGTTTATATTCTAATGTTCACTGAACTGAATTTTGAAAAGCAGTTGCTCCATTAAGGAAAATGTTTTAATTGGATTAAAAGACCCTTATATGGAAATATGGTCATTTATTCCTTTAATTATTCTATTATCAAGGTTGACACACTTCGATTTTTTTTTCATATTCATTTCAAGAGAATCTTTGACTTATTTTCAGTGGAATATAGTATAAATGTATTTTGCTATTAATATCCATACACATGGAAAATACAACCAATTAAAAAATAATCCTAAATGAAAATGAATGAAGCATGCATTATTTGCAGTTTTTTTCTAAAAAATAAGAAACCATATTTCAAACTGACATGCATCCATTACAATGCAACACGAGTAAGGTTTTAACCATGTTAACATGATTCAAAAGTCAGTGCTCTGTGTAAAAATGAAAACTATTGCTCAAGAACACTTGAGATTACTAAACAATTTTTTTAAAAGTGTCTCCTTAGAAGCAAAAACACATAAATAATATGTGGCTCAAGTCCATTGTACCATTCTTTTATATCAAACTTTTTTTGTAATTCCCACTACTTGGCAGTAGCAGCCAAACTGCTGGCAGAAATGTGTGTTACGGCTGGTTGTCAATAAAAACTCAACAAAAAGGTGCATTCTTTCTCTATTTTTCTTTCAAATAAACCATACAACAACATCTGGTGATCACTTTAGAAAATTTGTACAGCAGCAAACAGAACCAAACATCAGTCTTAATCAACATGCAACTCGCTTCCTTACCATTGTGGATAAAAAAAGTAATAAAAACATTTTCTCCCGAGAGACAGCTACAGAAATTGTGTTTCCATCGCCCCAGATTAAAAGAAAAATGTACATGGAGGAAAAAAGAAATCCCATCACATCTCTACAAAACAGGAAAATCCTTCCATTTTGATTTACAGCAACTTGGCATGTAGGATGTAAAATAGTTTCCATACAAGTACCTTGTAGTGGATTAAAAGCATAATGCTATTAAAAAAAAACAGAACAATGTACCCAAATGTTTCGTCAAAAGGTGCTTTCAAACAAACAAACTACACCCATGTCCCACCGGCAGAGTCCCTGTTCAATGTGCAAGGAAAATCATTGGTCCTAGTTTTTTATCTCTGCCTTTTCCTTCAGAAGCTCTGTCTGTGTAAAAGGTTTGCTACAAAAATCTTAAGATCACTTTAAGGGGAGAGGGAGAACTTCAAAAGCCCTTTTTTTGTTTTTTTTTTTTACCCCCCCCCCCCCCCTCTGAAGCAGACTGAGATGTCCCTGAGTTTGCTTTAAGGTTTATTTGGTCATGACATCCCAGAAAAGGGAATTTGAAGTTTGGCACAGGTCAACTGTAGGCCTTGCATAGACATTATCCTCTATCCCTTTATCTTTCATGCAACATTGGCATTCCACAATGAAACCAACTACAACGCCTGGCATGTTTGTGAGTTGTGGACTGCTCAGGGAAAAGCCAACAATTCTCACATTAAGCAATAATATAGTCCTATTGATGATGGACCCTTAAAAACAGCCGTTTGGTTAAGGCTGTGCAGAAAGCTTCCATGTGGTGCCATGTTCACAGAAAACACGGTCATCAGTCTGAGGTAAAGTGACATCTGTATCCTGTCTGTAGAACAGGACAAAGATTAAGAGCTGCCAGAAGGTCATAATTGGATACTTGAAAGTGTGAACAGCAGGAGAAGAGTCATTTATCTTGTAATGTGAAGTGAAAAAGAAAACTATTCTAACAATCCCCTTACTCCTAACAGAGTTGTGTTTAACAAATGAGACTTGGTTAACATCCATCATTAACTTATCTGCTGGCTCAAATGAACTTTAAATGTAACTTTCAAAACAAATCACTCTGCAGTATCATCACAATGAAAACCAAAACTCCATTACATCAATTCTCAGAAACAATGATCAACCAGTGTTAAATAATGCAGTCCTCAAATAATTGGCTTTTCACTAAAAGATTTGCAACTGGTTGCTAATCTGAAAAAAGAAAGTTAGAAAAACAAGGTGAGTATTATCTGAAGATGCTGTAAGGCCACGTCACTTGTCAGGTACTCTCTGATGGGTGTTTTTTGTACTGCAAGAACATGGCATTATGATTGGCAGGAGTTTTGAGCAGGCAAGAGGTGAAAACAATTGGTACAAAAATCAGCAATGTGAACAAAGCTTGTTTCTTTGGAACGTAAACAAAGGCAGAAGATTTTACTTGTGATTTCTGAATATTTTTGTCAAATAATTACAAACTTGTAAGGCATTTTGAATGGAAACAGATATATTGGCTAGATGTGCATTTTATCCTATAGTGTTTGACGTAAGCACAAAGTAACACTTCTACAGCATTATGATTGCCCCTCAGCAGCTGTTGAGCAGCCTTCGTTCTGGATTTAAAAAAAATTGCATAAAGCTCCACCAGCTTATTTTTGGCAGCACTGTTGAGAAACGGAAAAAGTGCGCGGTGCTTCTCGTTAAGCTTTAGTAATTTATCTAATCTGTGCTTCAGTAGTCTGATTTGAAAGGACTCCCAACAATGTGGCTTTTAAGTTTTCATGGCTTACTTGTAGTGACTAAACATTTATTTGGACTAGAGCTGAGGTAGTGATGGTAAAAGCGGAGCAGCCCAGAACAGACATGGTTTCTGCTCTCCTTAGTTCTTCTCTCCAACACGATAATATATCAAAAATCTATGCTGCCCAGATATCTGTAGATGGACTGTCAACTTTCTGCCATGTTTTCCCTTTTATCTTTGAGTTTTGTTTTCCTAAACAGGCATAGACCATCACATATGTACACCAGATTCTTTAAGTCTACTTTTCATGAGCCATCTTGAATTGCGGAGGAAAAACCTAATCAATCCTTATGCTCAGGCAAAAGTAGAATTACTCTGTCTTCAAACTACTGCTGTCGGTGAGGTTCAGCAGAGCCAGTCTCTTGTTACTGGTCATTCCTTCACTGTGATCATCTTTTCCAGCTAAAACATCCAACATCTGGTCTTGTTCTGAGCTGCTAGGCTCAGGATCAGGATAAATGATGAGGAAGCAGGCTGTAAGGAACCCAAGAAAGGATCCCACAGAGGCCACAATTGGAATGACACGCACACTACCAACTGCATCAACTACAGACCCAAGGGCTGAGGCAACCAAGATCTGGCTAATATAAACCTGAGAAGACAAAAAAAGAGGAAAAAAATCAAATGAATGTTTGCACAGGTGATTAATTACCACCACCAAATTACAGCCAACAACACAAACCAAATGTCTGGGGATACACTCTGTTTCAAAGTTCAGAATTAACAGGAGCCATTGGTTTGGAAATCAAACAGGCTTACCTGGCAGGTTAATATGGCACAATCAATACCAAAACCTCTTCGAGTGTTTGCTGGACTGTGGTGAATGTACTGAGTAGGAAAAAAAAAAGAGAAGCAATTATAAACTTAACAGAAAACAATTAATCTTAATACTGCTGTATGCTTTCATGCCCAAAAAGGCAACACTGCCCGTAATTAATCAAAGCTTCAATAAAAGTCACAAATATGTGTTCTGAGCCGGAAGAAAATATCAGCACTAAGTTTCCCTGAAGCAGCTACCGTACATCAGAGGATGGTTTGAGACCAGATGGAATGGATTATGTCAATGAAAAACCACTCAAGTCTTAAATGAATACATGATTTCGACTGATTGCAAAGTATACATCACATCAACCAGTCAAAGATTGAGAAGTGAAAGGCTTTTCAGTATAGTGTCTTAAGCCTCACTGTTTATTGAAGATATCTGTGTGGTCATACCTCTTTGATTTCATGGTACTGCCCGAGTAAAGCATAGGGACAGTAGGAGATACTCATGGAGATGACGCCCATGCCACTTATCATCACCATGGCAACATACACATTAGGGAAGATTGCCATGACTGCTGTGCCTAAAACACGGGAGAGCAAAGTTTGTAATTAAATCCATGAAAAAAGAGACGCACTTTGTCGTGATTACGGTGGTGCTTGAAAGTTTGTGAATCCCTCACAGTGTTCAGTGTTTCCACACAAAATATTTCAGATCTTCCACATAGAACAGCTTAAGGTTCTATTACAGGATGTGGGTTAAAGGCAGAACTATGATATTAACCATTCTGTCACATTGTGTGTTCTGGGTTATTGTCTTACTGTATAATGACTTCATATTAGGCTCACAGTAAGATCATGCTGCACTTTCCTATTAAAATCACTTGTCAAAGTAATTTATTTATAGTCTATTAATGTGGGATCTGCTAATCGAACAGCCATAATAGCACACCCACTGTGTTTCTTGAACCCAAGGTTTCTCTTTTTCCAAAATTAGCTTTCTTTAAACCGATAGTTTTATTTCTGCTTTCCTTCATTCATAAACCATTCTCCATAATTTTTTTTACTATTTAATTTTCTGATGATCCAATGTGAGGCAGACCAAACAGTGGCTCGAGTTAAATTGTTTTTCTATCACCCCTTTTGTCCATAGAGACAAAAACAGCATTCCCTGCCTTCCCCATTAATTTCAGCTCCTGGTCTGAGACGTGCCAAAGTACAGAAAACTGCAAATATTTCACAAACTTTCAAACATCACTGTTCCACTGTCTCCTATAATATGCTTGAGTATTAACTGACCTACTGAAAATCCCAAAGTTCCAATGATGTAGATGACCTTAATGCTCAGATCAAAATTATCCAGAGATTTCTGAAGGATGGCTGAATAAGGAAATGTGATCAGTTACAAGAAACTATTTTGGGGATTAAATATAAAAAAAAGCAAAGTTCATGCTCCACCTTCTTTGACTGTGTCCTAATTTAAACATGAAAACTGGGTTTATATTTTACCAGAACAAAGGGCAGCAGTGGCAGCATACACCACCAGTCCCCAGCAGCCCATCTGAACTCCTTTGTGATAATTCTGCAGTTCTGTAGAATTGGCTGATGCCTAGCAAGAACAGAAACATTGCATTCATATAATTATACACTTGAGATTAACTTTGAAAGGCACATTTATTTTAGACGCATGCAGTATTTTTATTGTTTGTGAAATGACTGGACATCAGGTGGTACTTGGATAATTTGATCAACATACTGTGTGTGAAGTTTGACCCTAAGTTTACCTTAGGGTCTCCATTGAAAATAACTTGTCCCATGAAATCGGTGTAAAACACAGCTTCGGCTATGATGGAGAACCACGTGAGCAGGTGACACACGCACAATCTCCATAGCTGTCTCGGCATCTAACATGAAGCATAAGTAGCATGTTAGTATAGCAAACAAATTCAGCTGACAGACAGTTTTGTTTGTGGAACATCAGTGCTGTGAAGTTGGTTAGCATCAAAATACAACAGTGAGGGAAAATCAGTAACTAAATCTGAATTTTCTAGTTTAATCCACCTTCAACATGGACAGCCAAAGCAGCCGCACAGTTGCTCCCCTCTCTGCTTCATCGTCACTGATGGAGCTCTCAGAAGACAGACTGCTGACAGACAGCTGCAGCTTCTGCCTGCGTAGTTGCCCCCCGTCGTCCCGTAGATCATTCAGACTGCGGGAGGTGGTGATTGGTCGAGGACTCGAAGGTCTTGTATGTTTTGGTCTAAAACGTTGTGATCTTACTCGACCATAATATGAAAATGTGAAGGAGGGCTGAAGAAAAAAAGGAATAAAAGTCCCTTATCAGTATTTTCACATTTATAACTACTATGGTACAACATTACAGGAAAACATTTTTTTTAAGAATAAATTGAGCTGTACTTGTCTGTAGAAGGTTGGTGGGTGTGGACGTGGTGAAACTGAAGGATTTGTAGTACGGCTCCCCAGCTTGCTGGTGTGGCTCTTGATGACTTTGGAACAATCAGAAGAGGGCAAGCAAACACTTGCGCCATTGCCAGCTTTGATATGCTGTGACAGGAAAAAAACATGACAGTAAGAAAAGACCCAAACTATCTATGAGACACAGTTCTGTAAGTCACAAAAATTTGGAAACCCATTAATTAATCAATAAATAAAGGCGATGGTGACGAACAGAATCTATTCACCTGCTTCAGAGGTGCATCATCTGTGCCAGAGCTGGTCCGAGGGAGAGACGGCTGACCATTTGTAGGATCCTTAAACCCATCCAAAACTGTGTTTGTAGGTTCTGTCGCTGCCATTTCATCAGTAATGGAGGGTTGTGGAGAACGAAGAGGTGATCCCCCAGTATTGTGATCTGACGCCTTAAAAGCATCTTCTAAATCTCCAAATGTTTCTGGTAGATATTGCACATTAGGCAAGAAATGGTGTGGCTCTATGTCAAGGTCAGGATCCAACTCAATTGTAGCATCTGCCATTGCTAAAACAGAATCACTCTTACTCCGCACTCTGTCAACAGCAAGGAAGTCCATCTCCTGTTTCTCTGGTTCTGATTCTTTGTCATCTCTGGATGGGGGTTGGGCAAAAGGATCCTCCTCCAAAACTACATCTAAAAGAGGTCGCATGTTGCCTACTGGCCCTACAGACATTTGGCTTATAGAGTCTCCTCCTTCAGTGTCTTTAAGCTGGTTGGATGAAGTGAAATTTCGCTCAGGGATACTGAGCATGTGAAGAGTGACAGAAATGATGAAGAAGATCCCAGCAAAAAGAAAGAGCACCTGTTGTTGCGATTTGAATGCTCTGCCCAGAGCTGTGCCAGTCCAGTCGAGGCCCCCCATCATGTAACCAACTGCTCCTCCCAGCCCTAGAGAGAGAGAGATGCAAGTCTTAATATGGAGAGTGTAGGTTGCTTTATTAATGGGTCAAGACTTCTGAAGGTTTAAAGGAAACTATGCAGGTAAACTGAAAACTTAAAGAAGACAGGACTAATTGATATTTTGCGTGTTTGATAGCTTATATTTGGGTAACTTAATTAAATTCTAAATAAAAACTGCTAATCTTTCATTTTGTTTGCCAAAATTAGGGCTAAAAAATATCTCAAAGGAAAAGTAAGTGATTCTTACAGCTAAGGGTTAAATGTCTTTTTAAGCAATAATCTTATACAAATGCTCATGTGTGTTTACATGTGAATGTCCTACCAGCAGAAAGGCCATGAATATTTAGTGCCATATCTTGTTCCTCAGTGTCAGCAACATCTAAAAGGTAAGCTCTGATAGGTCCCTCAGAGGCATCAGCACAGAAGTCCAGGATCACTACACCTAAGACAGTGAGAATGATGCCGATTGGTTGCCTGTTTGGCTCGTCGCCGATGGAAAGACCTGAGAGAAAAGCACATGCTGGATGAAACTGCCACGCTTAAAATGCAAAAGCAGTAAATTCATTTCAAACCTACTCACCAATCAATGATCCGTTTAAAAACAGCGCCACCCCAAACAGCACACCTACGCAAAGAGCCAGAATGAACGGTCTCCTCCGGCCCCATCGCAGAGTACAGCGGTCACTGGCTGAGCCAATAACAGGTGTGAAGACAAGACCCAGGATGGGACTTAAAAACCAGGTTAAACTGTAGTACTGCTCAGGAAGACCTAGAAGAGACACAATTCAAATATAACAATGGCAATTACACCCAAAACAAGACTAAGACATCAATTAACGTTTGTTTTTTAACATGAACCTGAAACTGCTTGTATTTCTAAAATTATGACAACTGAAATTTAATAAAAGCCTTTAGAAGGAGAAAAAAATGCTCCAGAAAGTCCATTTGGACTCGTTAGGGCATGACCTTGGGTTTTAACCCTGCTCTTTGTCTGCCTGTTCCTTCGTCACTACAGATTTGTTAAACACCTTCTGAGACAGTAACTTATTGATGTTTATGTAAACCCCTTCTTCAACCTGGACCATAGAACAACTAGCTCAAGAGCTGATATTCTGTGCCTCCAATGACTCATCTACCAGGTTGGCTTTAGAAAAAAACTATTCATCAGTTTGTCATGCATGAACTTGTCTAAATAACTACACTGTAAAACTGGGCAGTGCTTTTTTTTCAAAATGATTTTTTTCACATTAAATTATGCTATACAGGCAATTTGTTCATATAGGCATTGGCTTTGACCAAAAGAGCCAAAGACTTTTAGAAACACTTAGCTAATGTGTCACCAATAACCGAATATAAATGAATAAAGAACTAATCAAATCTCTTCCCGTTCAGAAACTTTGTAATCCTATAAAAATAGTTTAAGCTTCTATGCCTGGAAATGAAAAGAAGGGGGCAATCCATTTCACATCAACAAGTACTCAAACGTGAGGCTAATTGATTTATATAGATATATATATATATATACACATGCATACTAATGTGCAAAAATGGAAAAACTAATGCTTTTAATTTTTTTTTTTTTAAATTGGTAGTGTTTGAATATTGTTCACAGAGTAAAAAACTGTGAGCATAAAAGTGCAGTCCAAAACATTCCTGTCATTCTTAGCTGGGGGAAAAAAAAAAAAAAAAATCGCCTTTGTTCCATTTTTGCTATGGTGGCAAACTTGACTTCTACCTGCATACAGTAGCCCCTCGGTGGCAACCGATAGAGTTTACAGGACACAGAGGAGCAGCCGGGGACATGAATGGAGCCAAAATACTGACAATCAAATTCCACAGTGTTGTCCAGTGTCGCCTTTTTAACGTTACAAGTACAGTTCGAGGTGCACTCTTTCAAATAACCTGGTGAACATTATCACAAACAAACCAAGTCAACTAAAACCAACAAACTCAAAGCTTAACCAAGCCAACATGTAAAAGCAGCTGTGTTAATTCCACATCACTCAGCACAAGTACAATCATATCACCATGATACCTTGTAGTTTCTAAAGTTGTAGTCTGTGGTAACACAACTATGATATTGTTACATTGTAATACAGCAGTAATATAGACCACTACATCGTGCAATTCAAATGTGGGGGTTGGTATGTGTGCTCAGAACTGTTGCTTCGATATTCATTTACATACAAGCTGCAGTAAAACGTGTTCTGCTGATGTCAGTGCTCCACACTAACACGTCTTAGAGAGCTATTCATCTAACATTTAACCTGACAATACAAATTAAATATTAATATGATATATTAAATAAAGAGGCAGGAGAAAAGAACGCTTTGTTTTGCATACCTATCTGCAGCAGCACGGGTGTCACCAGCGCCGTTTCCATGGCATAGCAAAACTCCCGTCCAAACATCACTGCTGCATGCATTACCCAGCGATGCAGGGGGATCCGAGCTGCTCCCCCGTCATCCTCCAGCTCTTTCTCACTTTCACCATCTTCTGAATCTTGCCTGGATCTTCTGTTTTCAGGAGGGCCTAAAGCCTCTTTCTCTTCTGCTTCACTCGCCATTTCTGTCTGGTTCGACTTTATGAAAACCTGCGTTACCACAGTTTTTCTAAAAATACTAGGATAACGTAGCTACTTTATAATAAGCAGACAGAATATGTCCTGTACAGCATTTCCATCTTGATTGATCACTGTTGTAGGAGCCAAAGTTATCCGTAAAGACTAATCTGCACGCATGCAGTTCAAAGGAAATAAAATGTAGGCAGAAAACATCTTATATTGGGTTGAATAAGTCTAAAAATGTTAAATACTGCAGAAGATTTCATTGTGTGGCCATCATGTTAACATAGGATCATTCAGCCTGACTCAAAAGCTTTACTGGAGAGCATTAGATGTCCTTGTGGCTCGTTATGGTCCAAGTTCAAAATTCAGGAAGAGCTGAAACTGTCTGTGCTGTTCCAAAGGTATGCAGAGGGGAGGAGCTGGGCTGAGCAAAAGAGATGGAAGGGGCGGGAGATAAGTGTGTTATGGCTTTCAGAAGCACTGCTTGTTGCAAGTCGAGGCAAACACTCCAATAGGTCTGTGACTTTGGTTTCTGCATTAGATTGTCAGCATAGGGTTGGATGAGAAATCTGTGCGAGTGCCAATCAGAGCTCTTTGAGAAAAACAATGAGAAAGCAACTGGATATTCCTTGGCACTGTTGTTCTGACACACCAACCTGCAGGAAAACAAGCAAGTTAGAGGATTAAACAAGCTAAAAACGTAGCAATAGGCAGGGCATTTTTGAAGGCTAAATTTGGCCAATCTAAAACTAGACCTTCTACAGTATGTTTATACCCAGGAATTTTTAAATGCATTCTTTAAGACAGTTTTGCCATGGGCAAAATACCACATGTTTCCCACGTATAAATATACTTTAGTTAATTTGATTTACATGATAGGGGGAAAATAATGTAACCTCTGTCTTTCAAGAATGCTTACTGCTTCTAAAAAATGCTTATCTTTTATTTTAAAAAATCAGGGTTAAAATACATGTAATAAGGGATAGAAATGTATTGCAATTGCTCAGTGAAATCACCTCCATTACTTTCAACCCTCAAAAGATGCACCATTAAATGCAAAATTAAGCAATACACTAAAATTACAAAATTTTGACTGCTGCGCAAGTGTTAACAGGGAGGTCTACTTTACCAGAATTGAGATGATAAACACAATAAAACTTAGTCTGAAATAATACTCTACTAGCATTCCCCGAGATATAACATAACCTTGTGCAGTATCATGCCGTTTGTGTGGAGATACCATGTCAAATTCACCTGCATATATCCAGTTCTCATAATTTAAACATGGTTAAAAAAATATATAATATATATAAAACCTTAAGTTTTCTTGATACGGTCAGAAAGGCTGCTGCTTGTCGGAATGTGTTTATCCCACGAGGGTTTCTTGTTGAACCAGTTATGACATGTTTGGTTTAGGCATGCTTTTGCAAACTCACCTGAGCTATCCACCTTTCAGTAAAATAATGAGGTACCAACGCTTATTATGAACGTTGAGAATGGTACGTACGACTATGTGTGTCTTTACCTAAAAAAAAATAAAAAAAACTCTTGACACATGGAGGGTTACGCTAATTTAATTGCTAATGTTACCTTAGCGAGCTAGGCTGGCTAATATATATGTCAGCTAACGTTAGCGAGTGCAGACAGAAATACACAGCCATAGTTTGATGTATAAAATACCTCAGGTTTCACTGCTCTTTAGTGCAGCACAAGTATTTCCACACGACGCCACAGACCTCGCTTAGGGGCAAGGGGGAACTGTCAGGTTGGGTTAGCAATCCAGCTAACCTTCGTGGGCTAATTCAGTGACCATCTGGCTTACTTCACTCATCAATTTCATTGGTTTCCACAGTAACAAAGAGGGGCGTGGTTATGGACGGGTGAACCGTCATCAGACCGCTTATAGGAGTTAATTACACAAGTTAACGCCACTGTCGTCTAGGATGCGATTTGTCAGTTTTGTATTGTGTAAAGGAAATTGATGTGATTGTTTTTAATTCATGTTCAAACAACTTGCGAGCAGACAACATTATCTTAATCCTCGATTGATATACTTTATTTTATTCCGTCTACACTAAACCAGGAAGTGACTCACTCGCGTGAAACCCATATTTACCACATTTCTTTGGCATACTTTAAATATAACTTATTTCAGTATGTTTTTATTATTGGACGATGAAGCCGTTGCTTATGTTGTGACCTAAATCTTTTCTTAACATGACAAAATTTTGATGTGACAAAACATAACAATCCTGGTTAAGGTTTTATGGCTTTTATGGCTCCAAACTCTTTCTACTGTACTTTTGTTTGAGTTTTATGTTTTTTTTATTATAGGTTTGCTGTTATCGTCTTTGAATTGGAGTGCAATGTTGCCCTCTCTTGTACAAAGCCTGACATTAATCCCATACGCTTTATAAGTCAATATTTTATTATTTTTACGTGGACATGTTGCAAAAATATGGGATTGAATCTTTATTTTAATATCCTGTAAAAAATAATACAGTGGTTGCAAGGAGATATAGCCAGGACTTTCATCATCACTCAGATCTATCTGACGTCACTGCAGTCTGTGCTCATTTTGCCACAGCTGATGTGCAAACAGTTATCTTTAAGATTCTTTAAGGTATTGTAGAGTATTTAGGAGATGTTGAACTGTTTTAGTCTTGGCAGAATGACAGGCTGAAGTTACTTGAGAAAGCACATTAAGTTGCTCAAATTCTCCTCAAATGAGATTATTTTCAATGGAGGTTAAAGGGTTTCAATATAAATATAATGAAACTTTGAAAAGAAAATTTATCTTACGAGGTTACAAAGGTTGTCGTGTGTTAACGTCCATGTGAACCTCGTTGTGAATTGGTTGTTGCTATTCTTTTTTTCTTTTAATGAATGGCTTTACAGTCAGTCCGGTAACAGAGAATTTGACAAAGAGAGAATACTGACAAAAGGAAGCTGTTGTCTCTTGAAATGATTTAGCCGATTCCAGACACGTTACAGTGACACGTATGTAACTGTGGCACCAGTCCTCCATTAAAAAAGTTAAACTGTGTGATTCTTCCTTAGGCTGTCTCTCTGCAGAGCACTGGGGATCGTGGTCATCATGATCACATTTTTAGTGGTAGCATTTGCCGTCCCTCCTGAGGCCTTGGAGCTGTGCTGCATACTGACAATGTCCCCACTGGTCTGCTCCAGCTCTGCACGGCGGAAAAGATGCCTCACAGTGGCCTGGGGGCAGTAGTGGTGGTAAATTATTTAGTGAGTAACAAAGTAAATGAATGAGTGATAGTTGGGCAAGTTGTGGATTGAGGGAAGAAAAGATGGGATGACAGAAAGGAAGGAGAGGACTTTAACCTGACCTGGAAATTATTTGTTACAAAGCAGTAGACCACAGGATCCATGCAGCTGTTCAAACTGCTTAGAGTGACTGTTAAATGGTATACAATCACATGATGGGGCATGTCAGGGTAGAAGTATACCAACACCTAAAACATGAAAGGAAAAGCAAATCACACATCTTACAACATATTCAGAAGGGTTAAATTAAAAGAACAGTGAGAGAATATAATCACAATAACATGAAACATACATTGTGCCCTAAAGGTTCTCTCTTAAATTTCTGTCTTAGGAAAAGAATATGTCTTCACCCCTCACCAAAAGCTCAGAATCTGAGGAGTTCAGATTTTGTACCTGGAATCTGCAGAGGGCACTCACTATGGGAACTCCAGCCTGAATGCACCTGTCTCCAGCAACACTCATATCTACTGAGATTATGACTTGTAACACAGCCAAATCTTCTTTCTTATCCAATACCACAATGGCTTGTTAGCCAGCTACTGCTGTTGGCTGGAACCCAAAAACTAATAAGAGCTTTTAATCAGTATCTGCGCTTGATGTTGTTGCTGTTCTGTCTCCCTACGCCGTGGGTTTGGTTCTAAGAGAACACTGTTAAAGTTAGTATCTCACCGACTGTGACTTTTTACTGTGCACACTCCAGGGCATCTGTGCACAGTTCATATTTTGGATCACAGCTGCCTTGGGAGACACTCGTTATTATGGATCTGGTCTTTTTGTGTTGCTTAGATTGGATCATTTGTGTTGTCTTCCACTGCAGTGTTTTCTGACTGCGGGCAGGATTTCTCAGTTATGGCCACTACAATAAATGCTAAAGAAACATCCAGTTGAGGGGTTTGGTGCTCAGTGACACTGCATTTCTTATTCCACTGTTGTTCCAAGTCACCCTGTAATGAGTCTGTAATTTGTTTATTTTTACTTTAACCCTAGATTCAAGAGAATCACCTGTCCTGGTACATTCAGACCTAATGCACAAGTCCAACTGATTAATTACTTTCCTGAAAAGATCCCACTCACTTGAAATGATACCCATAATCCTCTCTTTCCATCTGTTGCCATTTGTATTTTGTCCTTCAGCTTGTCATTGTTAAGATCAAATCTCTGTGATATGTTCAGGCATCCTCTATTTAGGACCAGTTTCTTATTTTCATGATTAATATAGCGAAAGTATTGGGATGATCTGTGCTTATATAAACTTCTCAAAATGTATCTATTTGATGTACCCAATGCTTGCAGCCTGCCAGTCAGATGTTTCTGGATGTGCCAAGAACTAGGCAGCTTTTGCAGTGGATGCCTTTAAACCGTAAAACAACATATATTATATCTCTGATTTGATCTGGTCCCTCAGTTGAGCAATTAATATTATTCTTACTATTTATTTAGTATTTACCAAGGTACATTTTTTATTAGATTGGAAATGTGCTGTCTAGATAAATGTGACTTGACTTGGTGTATTCACGAGTCCTCATTTCTAGCCTAACTGTGCATTATTAAACAAATCTGATGGAGTTTTCACGTGTTGACATAACTAGCGTTTGTTCTGCTGTCAGCTTAACTATCCTAACTTTAAGCCCCAAATGCTCGTTCTTAACATGTTGGTCCTTTTTAATGGACTTTACATTGCTGGTCAACACATTGACTAGTTCTGTTAGAGCTTCTCAGTTCTGGGTTCTGAATCAGTTACCATTTACAACCCTCTGCCTTTCACTTCCCCCAAGCGAGTACTGAAACTACCATTTTCTGACACTACCATTTTCTGTCCTCCGCTGTTTCAGATGTAGATGGTTAAGGAAATGTTCTGCGTTGGAACCTTTTTGATGATATGTAATATTGATGTTGAAATGGGCTGAACTTGTCTCTCACTCACCTGCCGGATGTGAAACGGTGTGAAACAGATGGTGAAGATGATCAGTACAGTGGTTAGAAGCTGAACAGCCCTCCGTCTCCTCTCTCTGTGGAAACAATGTCAATATGACTTGGCATTATCTCCAAGCTGTGATTGTTGTCTCATGTCATTTTATTATTTTGTATTGATTTGGTATTTATGTGAAATGTTCCCAAGTTTACGTTTTACCCCGACTGTTTGTGCTACATTGGTTCTACCTGCTCTGCTGCATCAGGCGACGGTCAGCAAGGGCCCACATAATGCGCAACGTAAAGACCACAATGATGACAAGGGGTAAGAAGAATTCAGTGATTGTGAGAAAGAGGAGCTTTGAGAGGCAGCAGCCTGTATGTTGGAAAGCAGAGGAGAGAAAGGAGTAGGTGACCACGATGGCAAACAACCAAACGAAAATGCACACACACTTGGCAACGCTGGAGTTCCTCCATCGACGTGAAGCTTCAACCTACAATGACAAAAGAAAATAAGAAAAATGATTTTCCCTCTTTAAAGTCAAAGTCAAAAAGAAAATGCATATAGCAGCTTCAGCAAATATTAACAGGACATTACTAAGCCAAACTACAACATGCAGCACAAACCTGCACAATAGCGAGGTACCGGTCAACACATATGCAGGTTAGAAATAAGATGCTACAGTACATGTTGACAAAGTAGCTGAAGATGTGCATGTAGGAGCATGTGAGACAAGCTCCTCCACTGTAGTAGAGCAGTATTCGAGTGGGCAGAGAGAGATTGACCAAAAGGTCAGTCACCGCCAGGTTGATGGTGTAGATCACTGAGGTGGTCTTTTGCTTGGTGCGGTAACAAAAAACATAAAGTGCGACAGTGTTGAGCACCATACCCACCTGGAAAACAGGAACAAGATATTCAGTGAAGGAGTGTTTGATCAATACGGTTGATAGGATTGAAACACAGAAAAGGTCTCCTACCAAGAATATTAGAGAGTTTACGACCATCAGTGTGATCCAGAGGCCATAGAAGTCATTGTAGAGTCCCTCATCTAAATGTGCGAGTCTTTGAAGATATGCTTCCTTGCTTCTGTTAGCCGGGGTGGATGTTACAGGCAGGATAGGGAATGAAGTATTCATAAAGAGCCAGGATTCTGTACTGTTGTACGTCATCGTAGCGGTGATCTGATGATGCTGGTCTACATGCATGACGGCGATGGCACAGATGCTACAGAGTCTATGCTGAAGTAGAAACTGTAAGACACAATGACACCAGGGGTTTATTGAAGCTCCCCGATTCAACAAATGACTGCAGTCGTGTGTTAAGTCTGCATTTCCTTTAACACCATGCTTATCATTTTCAGTGTCTTTGACAGAGTTGACCTAATGTGCCATGACTGGTCCACCATCAGACACTGACAGTGGTCAGGTCAGGATTAACACCAGGACTGTAACTCTTGTTTTGCAACTTTAGATACTTTTCTTGGTCTCCAAATATACTATGTATTCATCTCTTGAACACACAGGCTCATATACTTGCCTCTTCATTCCTCTGCCTTGGTGTCTGACCTCTTACTGGTTGTTGCTGTTGGCACAGAAACACTAACAAATCCTCTTTAAACCAATATCTTAGCTATTTCACCCAGCTATTTATGATATAATTGTATTCATTATTTGCACAAGCAGTACTATCTCATGGCCCATGAGTGTCTAACTCATCTCTTTCATAAAAAAAGAATGAAAGTTTTTTTTTTCTCAAAATACAATATGTAGAGAAAACCTGTACACTTAATTCTGGCCAACATGTGACATTGGAGCCAACACGACAAGGGATACATTCTATAAGGTTTCAAATTTTTAAGAGAGACCTTTTTGCTGGCATGAACCAGAGTCAGCCATGGTCTCAGAGCTGGACTATGTTTATGTATTTACTTCAAGAGAGATGCCAAATTCCTCTCAGAACCGGAAACAACAGAACAGAAATGTGTACGATCTGTTTGTGCAGGGACAAGATATTTACTGCTTTGTTCCATGTGTCATTTGATTTGATTTGATTCATTTTATTAATCATTAAAAGTTTCTATTCACTGAGCAGATATTGTTGGTGATCTCAAAGCCTCTCAAACTCTGACAGAAATGTATTGTCCAAAATAACAAGTGGCCTGACTTATTTCTACACTGAAGAAATATGCCATCATGGTTGACATTCAAAAAACAAAGTAAAAGAGCACGGGATGAAACATCCATAGCCTGAAGCTCAACTAACAAACTGTGATGAGATAATTACAATGGAATGATAGCAATGCCACACCTCTGAACAAACAAAAGCACCCTGTCAAAAAGGAACAGATGATAAAATATGCTGGGTGTTTTTACACATTCAACTGAGAAAATCTGCTTTCATGAGACTCCATGAAATCATATAATGATTATAAAATATTGTGAATTTGAAGTAGACCATCAGGCGTGAAAAATAGACACCAGAGGGCAGTCAGTGATCATATGATATGCAGCACTTGTCCTAATATGGCTCTTTAAATACTACGATTTGCCGTAAGTGATATATAAATTGACTCGACCAAGATAATCTGGAATTTAGATTATGAGATGAAGACAGCACGAGAGAAACAAAGATTCTAATTGGCAAAATCAAGTTCACAATGCATCCATTGCTATTTCAGATACTGTCGAAATGCAAGTAAGTCACAGGATGCTTAACACATTGTCCCCTCTTTGTAGTTCTAAACAACTATTAAAACCAATTTGGCTGGAGGCGAGCATGCCATGTATTCTTCCATGGCGAATGCAGTTTAATTGTTCGTGTGAACCCGGACTGGAGAGTTTGAGATGCTCAGCATATTGTGTTGCATATGCTCTTGCTCATAACTCAACTCTCTGCAAATTATCATCCAGCTGATGAAAAATATAGTCTACTCAGGCTAATGAGAATAATATGCTCTGCTGTGGCTGAAGCATGAATAATGTGATTCATCTTCAGGAACAAAATCAGAGTGGCCACAGAACATTAAGACCAATGAAGAAAATAAATGGGTGTTTTCACAGCAACATCCCCTGATATTAGTCAGCTTATTGGAGCTAGCTCATCATCATTAACACTGCTAACAAGTGTCATGAGCATCGCTCTGGGGAAATTGTGTGTTAAACCATGTATTTCCTCTGGTAAGAACAGATGGCAGTAACAAGTAATACCTTCCAGTGGTTTTCAGTGATGGCTTGTTGACTAAAGCTGAGCTGTGGGACAATAAATGCTGAGCCCAAACAAATCCTGACCTAACTGATGTCCATAGCTACAGGCTGTGCACAGCTCTGGGAATGAAAAAACTCAGGCAACTAGATGGATTCATGATTGTATAATCTACTAATAACCACAGGTCTTGGGTCTGGACAATGTCTGCATTCCTTCATTTAATTGAAGGAATGCAAGTGTGAGAAACTTAAGCACTGGTGGCTTCAAAATCCAACAAAGTTGCCCCTCAAATAAATATGTTTGTTGTTTCTTGTGAATTCAGTCCCATACGGCTTCCTTGAGGTCAGCGCACTAATGCTAAGGAGCAGCGAGCAGAAAAATGAGTAGTTCTGACTCGTTTTCTGAATTCAACATGGTTCACAGTCAGCTTTAATGTGATGCGACTCCTAACTTTGACTTTGGAGAAAACTGGAACAAAGTCCAAGGGTTACAACGCATTGACCTTATTGGGGTACTGTCTGATAAGGCATGAAATGAAAAATACAAAACAAAACAGTCTTTGAATGCAACCAAACCCGTAAGAATCCAGCTCACATCTTAAAATGTGGCATTAGGATATTTCCTGTCTTGATACGAGTGTGCTTTCATTAATCTTCTGCATTTCCACACTATCTTCCTGGTCAAAAGTTCTATATCTGTGACTTTTAAAGACTGTTATTTCCAGGCGTGTAATGGTTAAAGTGTCCCATGTCGATGTGGGCACCAGCAAAGAACACTAAACATAATGTTTTCCACACTTAAATGAGGTGCTGCAGGGCTACAAAGTCTTTTATCAACTGCACAATCAAATACAGCACTGAAGGGGCACTTTGTGCGTAGAAATGTGAAGCAATCCTTTGTGATAATTTTAGAATTAGAGAATGCTGACACAACAGGGAACCGAGACAACACAATTACTCCACACCTCAGTCTTAAACTGTCTAAAGTGGCCCATTCCAATCCAATAATTGAATCTTGTCTGTTAGTTTTCAGATCCTTGTCACCCAATTTGAAGAAGTTTCAGAGAATCCGCAAGGAAGAGTCTGATAAATCTGGGGATTCTTGTAAAGACTTTAAAAACCTTGTCAAACATTTGATTGCTACCAATTGCTTCATAAAAGAGCAAAATGAGGATCTAAACACCTTGATAGGTTAGTAGTTTGAGATTTGCTCTGATTTGACTCAACCCAGATCAAATCTGATGCATTGCTATTTCTATCCTAATGTTGCTCTGTTTCCCCAACATCAAAGAGAGTGGTGATGCAATAACTGTAAAAGGATACTGAGAGAAGAACAGAAGGCCCAGAGGCAGATCACAAATAACACTGTCCAAATAAATTCCAGCAGTATGGGAGTCATCTTTGTGTGTGTTGTTGTTACTGTCTGAAAGACAGAAATACACTTACAGGGAGAAAGACATGGTGGGATAGTGATACAGAGCTCTCACGCTGCACATTATCAAATTATAGCTTTGCAGAGGAACCCTTGAGGCAAACAAAACATTTTGCTGCTGTTGTAACTCTAATTTTAGAGACTTAGAGAGTTGGTTAAATTTGTGCTCGCAACAAAAGCTGGCAAGGTATTTCTAAAGCCTGACGGGAAAACATACAATAAACACATGGACCAATATCTTTTTGATAAATTTTTCGGTGGAAATCAGATCAATTCTGCTAGTTTATTTTTTCTCTCACTGACGACTTCTTACCACATGTACCCCAAAGACGTGATAGCGGCTGTATGTATCCCTTTCTTTAGGAAAATTGATTTATATGTACATGTATGTGATGGTCTGCTTTCCTGAGTGAAACAAAACCAACAGACTTAAGTTATGACCTTAATTGATGTGTACTTACCAGCTGACAAAAATTAGGCCGACAAACTCTTAACTCATCAAATCTTGTTATCCTGAAGTTGTCCTTTCGTCCTAATTGAAAAATCCTTCATTTGCATCCGATGATGTCTCACTGAAGTCATCAGCGATCATCCACTTTGACACTAGTCACTTTTTTTTCTTGACTTGTTCAGCTTTTCAGAGATCATTTTATTTCTCCTCTTAGAGTCTCAGTCATGTCTCTCTTCTCATGTTTTTGATTCATGCTGGTAGGCTGCAATCATACGCAATCTCCTTCAAATCGGAGCACTGAAAGCTATTATTTTCAATTCTGCCCTCTTCACAGCTTGTCTGTAGCTCAGTGTATGATTTTCCTCCTATAATATCAACACATCCTCACATCTTTCTGCCTCCACCTGTTGTTGCAAGTCTCACAGCCCACACTGAATGTTATCCCGCTCTTCTTTCGTCTAATTTTTCTTCTTTCTCTTCATTCAGTGACTCTGCCTTCCCATTTCCCTCCCTCACATTCTAAAGCCCCCTCAGTGTGCTTTTCACACAGGAAGTCTCAGTATGTGTTTACATTCTGCAAAGACAGTCACATGTGTGCCTATGTACAGTCTGCCCTCACATGAGTTAGTGCAAAACACATAGTTAAATAGAGCAACTAAATGTTATCATATAGTGTAACTTGAAGACTAGAACACATGCATAATGAACATGCTGCGAGTTTATTCACATAAGTTTAGATATGCCTTTTTTTTGTCATGTGAACTTCTTCTCAGCAGAAATCATTAAAAAACACAAAACCACCCTGAAAATCTCTCTTGCTAGACTCCACAGATCGTTTTCTACAGCTGGCTGACACAGCTGATACACCTGTGTGTGGGAGATACCTGTACCTTCTTGTTCAGTGAAGACTGACTAATGGTAAACATGTTTACAAAAGAAATCGTTATACAGGATCTACTGAAACGTTGTGTGTATCATTTGTGATTTTATGGATCAAACTGACTAAGAAATCCTCCCCATAAAGTTGATGTTTATGAGATTTATGTGGATGCTGATCTGTGTTAAGCCATTTAAACTACATGAATGTGAGCACACTAATGCCTTACTGTAATTCAGCCTCAAGCTGTGTCTTCATAACTAGTCCCTGAACCAGTCCTTAATTCATCTTTCAGAATGAGTTTGTGTCTCCTGGTTTCCTGTCTAGAGGATCACCATTACTCACAACGCTGTCAGCGGTCTTTGGAAAGATCCGGAATAACGGATGTCAGACGAAGATGCATAGATCAACCTGTTACTGAGGACGAGCGCACAGAAAAAGACAAGAACAGAAAGAGACTAGGGTGGGGGTGGTCGGAAAAGGTAAAGACAGAGTGGCCTGTCGGCCTCTGTGCTCGGTTGAGAAACAACACGTGCACTATTACTTGACATGCTTGTGTGGAGAGAGGCCATGAATGTGTTACAGTCCAACCAGGGAAGGCTGTGTTCATGTCATTGAATATGGAGGATTAATGAAATATGGTCAGGTTTCTGCACTTTTTACTGCACCCTTGATGTCTTTGGATGGATTATTTGTCAGGGGGGAGAATGCAAAATCTTGCTGTTGTGCTGGAAAGCACACTTTATGGCACTTGAGACCCTTCTGCCTTATTTGGTAGGAATCATAAAGAGTGATTTGAGATTCTGATTACTTGTACAAAGGTACATTTCTCTTTGAAAAAAAGAGGAAAAATATGAAAAATTTGCGATGATGATGACGTTCCTCCTTTAGTTCTTTAGCTTTTAGTTGGCCGTCACATCAAATGTGCTTTAGTGAGGTTGAGAGGGTTTTTGAAGGCGTTTAAAATATGGTCAGTTCATATAAAAAATATTCTGTCACATTTATGTCAAGTTGGCATCCATAGAGCAAAAACAAATACAGTTTTCTTCACATTGCATTGTCCATTCTCTAAAGTCAGGTTTCTTGTCAAATCTGTGCTCTAATTCCCAGTAAGGACTCAAAGAGTGGGAGATGTCTGGACACATGTGTCCAGAAACTCTGGGATTGGCCTCAGACTTACTGTTTAGTTTTCCATCAGCTTGAGAAAGCACAGGTTCGTAGTCCTCCTACACCGCAGGACGACTTATTCACCTGCTAGCCTACACTCACTCAGAATCTGACACGCTGTTATACCCATGGATAAGATTCTTAGACGTGTGGAAAATTGGTACAGTGAATGTTCTCGTTTGTGCCTACATCTGTCCCCACAGGTCCCTATAACATGATGAATATCTAGTGATGATGTCATATATCAATGAGCATGTTTTGTGGTAGACACTGGGGTTCAGCAGGGGCAGCTTCAGCACCTTTGTATGAATACAGAACAGAGACAGGAATAATGTTATTTACGTTGAATGTTTAAAGTTGTTGCTTGTGAGAAAGCAATCTTCTGTAAACTGATACTAATAAGGTGTGCTCAGAAAATGCATAATAGAAAATATTTGTATGAAATATTCAAGATTGACTTTTGTGATAACAAAATAGAGGAGATTTGGTGACTATACATAATATGGATGGGAGAAACTATGGTATTTTGAACGGAACACAATGATATAAAAAACAAAATGGTAGGAGGTGAAGAATGTGTTGAGTATTACAGACAGAGCACTGACTGCCTGAAGGTATAAGTGTCTAATTCCTTCAGAGCCACAGGCAGTTGCTCGCTGTACAGCTATTGCAGCACTTAAGTTATGTAAAAGAGTATAAGACAAGTTGTAACAGAATCTGTAGTTAATGGAGTCTTTTATGAGCTGAGATCTGATTTAATGGATGCACGAAATTCACTGCAAACGTGCTCAGCTTTTTTTTTTTAAGGTTCAAAAAAATATTTCAGTGATCTATTAGTCAACAGCTTCCAGCACTTCTCAATAACTTTCCTTTTGTTCTTTCTAAGCTATGCTGTCTAATAGATATACAACACGCACCAGCCGTATTGTTTTAACTGAAAACTGAACTTACTCACCTGCTTGTGGGTCAGAAATTCCTTTCTACTCTGGGAAGTATCAGAAGACATGAAGAAGGAACTGGAGTGAAAGCTTACTGTTAATGGCTTTAAACTGTAACTGAATGAACAGTCCACTGGTGGTACTTTATCTGATGTGATGAAGTATCTAGAAACTCACCTTATCACTGCAGTTAAAACTGCATCATTCAACTAAATAGATCCACTGAGAGTTTACCCTGGGCATTTTGTTCTCTTTTTATAATTTAAAAACACTTATGGGAGCTTTAGGGCTCAAAGCCTAAAGTCTTCTGTATTAAACTAAATTTAAGTTTAATACAAAAGGGAAATGGAAATGAGTTTTCTTTCAAACAGGTTACTCCAGTATTTCGTCAAGTTAAATGCTTCTGCTCTAAAAACGAAAAATCAGAAGCCAAATATATGACTGTAATTGTGTTGCATTCTTTTGGTCCCTGTATCATTTAAGTACAATAAGTGTGGCCATTTATTTCCCAAGTTCGTTTATAAATGGATCAAATCACCATGACAAATAATACCTAATGACAGAAAATGATTTATGAAATTTTAGTTTTAAAAAAACAACTCTTTACAAAAAAAATTTCACACACACATACACATTGTAAATGACATTTGGCCAGACATGGTTACTTGGCAATAGTCCCCAGATATACAGTAACAACAAGAGAAAAATGTATACATTTTTTGTGGCTTTTCTGATCAACAAAAATATAGAATCACTATCTGTATTACAGCAAGAGTTGTCTTATATCAATGCTGGTTTCTTAACAAGAAGTATAATAACCAGACCAAAATGCTAGATTTGTATAATTTTAGCAGAATACATTCATTCCCCAATTCACAGTAAAATCAGAGATTACATCTGCTAAATGGAAGTGGATCATAAAACCTTCCTAAGTTCAACAACAGACAAATGACATGATCAAATTTAGCCGCCATAATTACACTATTCTTGCACAGAGCTAAGGAGGACTAAAATATACACAATATTAGGAAAGTAAACAACATCCTAAAAACAATACAATTTCCGTTCAAGTGAAACTTTAGCCCAGATTGACCATTAGAGGTTCTAATAAGACTCTGGAGTGGCAATTACCCGAGTATAACTCTGCATTCCTCTCTTCCTTAAGTTACTTTAGTGTTCAACATCAATATTCTGCTCTTCTTTCCCTTGTAAAATATTATTAGATAGGTTAAGGTGTTTAATGTAAACATGGTATATCCGTAAGATAGACGCTGTGATCAGCTCATCTAGAGCAATCAATGAGCCTGTTCGTACTAAAGAGATGGAGGTAGGATTGAATAAGAAGACATGTTGAAAACCGTTTGACCTCTGTGCATCTTAGTTGGCCTCCTTTCTGTAGTGCATCACATAGTAGTCATGGACGTACATGAGGATAGCGAATGGCTGACCAATGATGATGGACATCCACACTGCAGCATTACCGTAGTTACCCCGCAGAAACTGTCCAACAAACCAGGCTAATGGAAGCTAAGGGGATTACAAAAATAAATAATGGGGGTCATTGTGTTTTCGTCACAAACAACAGTCTTCACATCCGTCCTAGTTTCTGCTGTCAGTGCTTGATGACTCAGCACATTTAAAACGAATATCCATATTGGCTTAAACATATCAGTTTTGGATTTAAACTTAAAAATACATGTATTGTTGCCATTAAATCATAAAGCAAATTATATCATTTTACTGAAAAAAAATCATCAAGTAGTCAACGCAGAAACTTACCTGTGCCATCATGCCTGTAAAAGCCCAAAGTCTGAACATCCTGAGAGGAACACTCACCAAATACTGGTAAGAAATAGAAAACACAAAACACAAAAATGATGGTACCTGTTGTGCTCTGAATAAAATCACCACCGAATGGAAAATGAGCAATACTACAATGTTTTCGACCTGGCATGTTACTATAGGTAGAGAAAGCTGTTGTGACTTCTTGTCTTACCTCATGGAAGAAAGCTGACAAGAAGAAGACAGCTGATTGGCTGACTATCTTACTGAATCCTCTCCTCAGCAGTGGCTTGTAAAAGTGGCTGAAAACCAGACCAAGGAACAGATGGAAATATAAACACATAAAAGAAAAGCTGGGAAGACATTATGTAAAAAACACTCCACATGTATACACTGTGAACTACTTAAGACACTTTTCTGTGTACACAAAGTAGACAAGACCAACACTAAGTTATCATCTGCAGTTATTCTTCTTACCCAGTAAAATCCCTCAAACAACTATTTGTCTGACTTATAATATCCTCCTTGCCTTTGCTCCTGCTGCTCCATTACTGTATGTGGAACTTGCTAGATTAATAACATTTATCATTTCTCGTTCAATCATACCCATCATTTGAAACCTTTTGTAAAGTACATCACAGTGCGCAGTGTGCAGATGGTTTACCGTAGACACCACTTGTGTACAGGGATGTTCCAGTTCTGCCAGAAATATGTCACCGTCTCAGAATTCCTGAAAGGACATCCACAAGTGAGACAAGTTTGAAATGCAGTTTGATCCAGACTGATTAGCATAAGAAACTAGATCTCTAAAATCTAAACAGATAGTAAACCTTAAATAACAGAGGTTGTTAAAAAAACAAAAACAATAAAAAACACATATATATACATATATACTGTACTGACATAGTCTGCCCTTCCCTTATACCGACAAAGACACACACTAACCACCAGTCCCTGTAAAACTGTCTGTCTCCAAAGCACAGCAGCTCAGCAGTGAAGTTCAGAGAGGAATGGAAGAACCAGTAGAAAAACATCAACCACATCAAGTGATTAGGAACCTGAAGAGATTATATGAAGACACATGGGTGAAAGATTAAACTTTTATTGAGGAGACAAACCTCATCGTAACAAGGAAAACCTACAATATTTCCCTGATGTAGCCTTAACACTGAAAGCACCGTTTTCAAAATCACTCAGTTGTTCTACAATAATAAGCGCCCAGCAAATATAAAAAAAGACTAAGCAGATTCTCCTTTAAGCTGCTGTGTTTTAATACTTACAGCTAAACGTAAGAGTCTCTCAGCCATCCTGGACAGATCCATGTCCTGGTGGAGATCATAAGTCCATTAACATATTTCACATAATACGTTTCTGGGTAAGTATATGAGTCATCCTTCTTTCTTACCTCTAGCGGTTTCATGGAGCTTTGAATGATGGGGATCATCCACTTAGAGAAAAGAATAAAACTGGGTAAACCTTTGTTCATACAAGAGAGGTAGTATGTATACTTCGCCTTTATCTGTGTTAAAATGCCCATAACAATACATTTATCTCTTTTTAATATGAAACTAAATTATATCAAAAGGTTTAGAAAAACTGCGATGGACTGGCGGACTGTCCAGGGTGTATCCTGCCTCTCGCCCATTGACCACTGGGATAGGCTCCAGTTCTCCCCACAACCCCATTAGGGAATAAGCGGTAACGATAATGGATGAATGGATGGTTTAGAAAAAATGAGCATAGTTATACTAGTACAATAACTTTGTTGCCATAGTGTACCTGCTGAGTAAGGGCCACTAACATCTGGGTGAAAAACAGCTGTGAAGAGAAGAAAATGATGGCAGGTTATAAACAGCAGTTAAAAACTTGCTTACAAAGTTTTTATAGGTATGTAATCTAGACTGCAAATCCCATCATATTTCTCTATTTGGAGACTGACATATATGTTTACATTTTCACAGTTCATGCTGTGATGGACTTGCAGTTCAGTTAAAGTGAACCAGATCTCAGGAATTTAGTTAATTTAGCACAAAAGACCCCAAGTTTCCTCTTTAACTGCAACACTTGAGGCTTAATTTCTTTCCTAGCTGACACTGTTAAAGTGTTTGCCAAGAATCGATTTAAGGTCTCCTTGCTTAGGGATAAACATTAAGAAGGCATTTACTGTCTGGAGAGGTATTTTACATTGAAGATATTTTTTTCTCTTTAACGGAGACAGCCTGTTTTCTTAAACTAAGAAACTTTAATTACTGTTATTGCCTCACAAACTCCTGCCAACAGTAAAAATGGAATAAGACTATTGGCAGAAGTACAATAAAAGAAAGAAAATAAAGCAAGGTGCGTTTGATCCACAACAAAAGTAAAGGGATGTGTTATCTTAGGACACATTAATATACATTGAGCTTTATGAGCAAAGGTTTAACTTACTTTAAGACATCCCTTAGGGACAATAACACAACTTTTAAAAAGAAAATCACTTAAATGAGACTGACGAAAGACATTTCCTCACCATCTCAAACAGTCTTCTCAGCAGGAATCCCATGCGAATCTTAGAGGAACGAGGGAAGTTGAGCTCATAGCAGAGAGTTGGAGCAAAGACAAAGTAATACATATCTGCACAGATGGAGAGTGGGAAAGAAAAATTAGAGGAAGGATACAAAAGAAGAATAATTGACAAATTTTGTAGCAACGGTGAGATGGCTGTGAGTACCTCTAACTGTGAGGTTTCCAGGATAGCACACCTTACTGCTGCCTCCATTAAAGTGCTGAGGCGAAGGACCTGTGGAACACAGAGATTATGAAGTAACACACATAACGCTGCAGTGTTTTGGTCATGGAAAATTAGAAATCATAACAAAAAGGACCAAAAAGACATGGAAAAATCTTCATGAAAAATAATCTATGTTCAGTAAGGCATATTTCCAGGCTTCACCAAGCCACTTTTGCCTAAATCTGTAGTATCAACTCTCTGCCAGTCGGTGTCACTGTAATAACATGAGCAAGGTCAAGACAGCTATCTTGGAGGGGAGCCAAATCATTTTCACAGACGCTTAAAGCATTCACAGACAGTTAAGAAAGAATTATATCTCTAGCCAAAACCTGTAAATGCATCTATTTACTGTGTTGGGGTGTTTGTATGACTTACAGGACAGAGATCTGGCCAGTTTCTTGGCCTTTGCGGTGCTCAGTTCCCTGCACCATAAGTTGACATCCTTGTAGGAGTACAGCTTTAGGAAGAGGATGGTGTGAACACCCAGTGCAAACAAACCGCCAACTGAAAGGAAAAATCGAAAACGGGTGATGGTTAACTGTGATCAAGCGGACAAAAACTAAGCTGGATAACATCCAGGTGTGTTCTGTCAAGTTATAGCAAGATGAAAAAGAAAACAATAGTGAGGATGGATGGGTGAGGGAAGGCAGGTGAGAGGAGGTGAATTTCTATAGTACCACGTGCAGAGTGAGGGGAGATAAAGTCAAAGAAAACAGTGGGGAAAGTAAAGAGAGATGGAGATCAAGAATTTGTCATTTGATGCTGGATAAAACATGACTAGCAAAACTAGTGATTTCAACTGGAAGCATGGCAGCTGTCTCACTCCATCAAGGACATTATTACACAGCCACTATGCAGCACAGCCATGTGGGCCTGTCAGTGTTCATTTAGCCGATCACTCATAAAACCCCGCCGCTCATTGTTTATTGGCAAGTAAGGTAAAACTGATTTAAAAAAAAAAAAAAAACATTGTTATAAACACACCCACACATGCCAGCTGAGACGTTTGTCTACACTCTCTTTATCAATAGCTACCATATGCTCAAAAGAACAAAATACTGCTGAACTGATTTACTGACACTCATGTAGACTCAAAAACACAAATTAAAAACTGTCTGTTGCGCCAACAGGGTGAAGAGGAGGTCTGCAGCACACCTGGCATCACAACACAGCAGATCTCGTCCATTAACCATCTGTCTCTCCAGCTCAATGTGGCCCCTCAACAGCTCGATTGTTTACATGACGGCTGCTGACCATAGAAGCACATGTGGAGTTTGAAGTTCTATAAAACATGCGTGGGTTCTTTATTTTTTTCGTTATCAGAGAGCAGACCTTCTTGAATTAATCATTTTAGCTGCAAGAGGAGTATTAGCCACATTGAGATGTGAGCTTTGATGTCAATAAGGATACTAAAGGAAATTCTAATATACTACCCCAGTATTTGTTTCTATCTGTCTCAGTTGCTAAGTCTAGTTTCCAAGGGTTTATGCCACTTTAGAGTACGCTATACAAATACAAGGCCCACGCCTCAGTCTATTGTGTGGCTGGTATAATTATTTAGCCTCATCAAATCTCACTACTATTAATATGAATATAAACTTTAAGAGAAATTATATGTGCATTATCACACAGAAAAATAGGTATGAGAATGGTTTTCCACTTTTGAAGAAAAAAAGGGGGCAATTTTTCACTTGGTTTCAAAGTGACATGTGCATCGAATCAGACTCAGATATACACATCTACACCAGTTCCAGACATTCTTTGTAGCAGACTAGGACACATCAAAAGGCCCCATTCAAAGCTGGAGATGTAATGAAATAATGGCTGCAGACAGTAGAGAACAATCTTCCCTCCTCACTACAGTATTCCTCAAAAGAAATTTAATAAAAAGTGAAATGAAGCCTGCTATCACATTAACATGTACTGTGGATACATTAGGTGTCCAATAATGCAGGAGCTCCCTACACACAGAGGCATGAGCACTTCAGAGGACATTACACTGACTTGCATTAATTTCCTGGAGACTTGCCCCAACCGCTTCTTGCATAATCCAAACCGTACGCTAAATGTTACAAAGTGCTCTCCCTAAAATGAGATATTTCAAAGCCTTTTATTTTCTTGTTTTGCTTTTTGCCCCAACAAGGGGGATAATACTCCAAGTTATGAGTGTAAACAGATCAATTTATACCTGCACTCATACACACACACCTTTTTCTCTCCATACACCCACACCTGCCCTCTGTCACTGCCCTTCCTGTGTGCACAGCGGCGCAGAGAGGGGAACAGACAGACAGATGGACTGAATCCCTCACTTCTTCACCTCCCAGTGAGAGAACAGATGAAAGGAAAAGAGAGGAGGAACGTCACCCAAAGTGGGAGGGAAGCTAAGACTTTAAACAATCATTTTCGCAGGAATCAGTAAACCTCATTTATATAGAGGCAGATTACAGTAAAGTTTGAGGACAACAAACACAATTTTAGGACTGAATAAAATAAGCAAAAGTCAGGACGACTGCATATATATTCTGATATTGACCCAAAACATTTGAGAGTATGAAATATGAAATATTTTCATTTCTAGTTGATTAGATCTTCAAATATAAAATAACCAACTTTGAAAAAGGTTTTGCAGTGCTCCTTTACCTTAGCTTTGGAACAACTACAAACTAGTCACCCTGACCCTGATGACAATTGGACACTGCCAACCACAATGTTTAAAGCACTGTATAGTCGAGCTCAACTGGGCCAGCATTTGCCCCACCAAAGTACATCTGAGCTCATGTTGTGGAAAAAAGTTATTTTGCAGCTTCTTACTTTACGTGTGGATGATGATTGTGCAACTATACATTAAAGAACTGAAAAAGATGCTCTATTTAAATTGTTGCCAAAAAAAACGTTGGGAAAAAAAAATATATATATATCTATAAATAAAAGCAAAGGGACAGGAAATGCTTTAAGCCTTAAATCAGCAATTTGCTGCATAGTCTCATTGAGCTGCTATAAGTCCTAAATTCCGTTGTGCTGACAAAAGCACCTGAACGATGACAGCAGCTTTGCTCGAGTTTCAACTGTATCACAACAAACTTACACAGCTGTTCTTGCAATAGAGCTGCACGCAGGACTAATTCAATCAGGTTGTAATGCAGTTTTAATTAGATTAATTTTGGCACTGTGGACATTTCAAAGTCCCCTTTTGGTCGGACTGTCGCATGATGTTGTGTAAACATGCTTACTGTATTACACCAGGTACATACATGCACTTTCTACTATGGTGAGCAAGTCATCTGGGGAAGCGACACTGATTTAGACCTTTTCCCCAAAAACAAATGCTTATAGTTAGAATCTTGAGCAATTTACTTGCAAAGCAAATAATAATATTAAATGGATTCTAATGGATTAAAACAAAAACCAATTCATGTTCACCTGTTTTCTTTGACGAATGTCATGTACCTGTGCATCATTTAGTGAGGTATATCCAATTCATCATGCGTGCACTGTATGCTTTATGGAAGGCAGCCATGGTTTCTGTCAAGCAGGCTGATGAAGACAGAAGAAGGAGACCTTTGGATGACCTTACACTGTAAGCCACACCCACTCTGGCGTCTCCTCTCCTCTCTTCCTCTGTTCTGTCCTTTCCTTTCATTTCCTTTCCTCTCTCATCTCTTGACCTGCTCCTCTCCTCAGAGCCAGCTGGAATCAAGCCAGTCGTGACCAACTGGTCCATTACTGCTAACTGATTCCAATTATGACTCTGTACAGTCTAAGAGTGTAATCTTTTACTGCACCATCAAACTGGTTGACTGTTTCTCTGAAGGGCGAGGGTATGAACGTCCTCGTAATCTTTAGTGCACTAACGTTATTTTCTATCCGTTCATATGATTCAATTTTACACCACAATGAATAGATAATTATTTGGTTGAATGTGTAAGTTAGTCAAAGACATGTTGCATACTGTACACATTTTACCTGGGGTCATGGAAGGAACCAGTAGCACCACTATAGCAGGGAATGTGAGCATGATTGCCATGTTTATGCAATGGACCAGAAATCCAGCAAGTTCGCTGAATGAACCCTGGGTAAAAAGAGAGAAAAACAGTTTTTATGTCAAACACTGACAGTGCATTGTCCCATTCTCTAACAGTGCCATCAGTTAGTAATTCTATAGCCAAAGTGTTCAACAGATAGAAATGAATATTTCCATAATTTGTTAAGCACACTTTCAAACAAATTAGAGTTATTGTGCTGGCCTATTTAAGTTTGTTCATACTGTCTAACTTTAGTGCCTAACAGACCAAGCAAAACTGAATATGCTCTAAATGCAGATACGGAAAGAAATTTCACATTTTCTCATTTAACATGTGCTGATGCAACTGGGGAGGGTCAGAAAGGGAGTCAGTTGGAGAAAAATAATCCTTCCTGCCTCCTGCAACGCACTCTGAATTGCACAATTCAGTTAAAATCCACAGTGCTCTGATGCTTGAATTTAAACAAGATTTTTTCACGCACCTTTGACAGCTGTCTCTCGGTGTAGAGAGCCACCAGAATGAACACGTTGGACACTGGCAAATACAATGAGATATTGATTTCAGTAATCCAACATTTCATGTTACAATTTAGGTTTCCTGATGTGCTTTCGCAGGGATGATCATGAACCGACAACATTTTGCAGCTGCAGCATTTAAAGAACACTAGAATTCAGGAAGTTTCATTAAATTGTGACAGCTTTAAAGCAGTGAGATTTATGATGTAAAAAGCTTTGGTTAGCTTTTCAGCACCTTTTGGGCTTTGCACTAACACACAGTCTTTACACACTCTATTATTCTGCCTGGGTTTGTAACGCAAAGGTAATTCTTGTGCGAGGAGCCTTGATGTAATAATGTCTGCCCAGACAATAACAAGAACCGGATGACATGTTTTTCTAAATAAAAATTTGCATCCGCCACTGGAGAGCAGAGTTCAGCCTCTGGCCCCACTAAACCAATTCTTTTTACATTTATACAAATGGGATAAACGGTGGTGTGGTAGTACAGGGTGTAACCTGCCTCTCGCCCATTGTCAGCTGGGATAGGCTCCAGTTCTCCCCACAACCCCGTAGGGAATAAGCGGTATAAAAAAATAGATGGATGGGATAAACACTATGTTCAGACTGAATGTTCGATGGGCTACACCATTTAAATGTATTTATTTACTCATACTTTAATTTGTGATGTAAATTTGTGTGCATTAAAAAGATTGCAAAGTGTTGAAGTGAAAGAGACAGTTTTTCTGCCCCCCAAATGAAAACATTCCCCAGCTGCCTGAAACACAATCTGCAGTCCACGCTCTTCTTTGCTCATTTGCTGAAAGCATCAACCAACCTCCCAAGTGGCAAGTTTGGAAAAACTTAATCTAACAATGAGCTGCTGCCTTGCCCTCTGTTATTTCTGAGTAGACGACCAATTGGAGATGATAGTGGATTTTTGGGAGGATGCCTTTAAGAAACAGGTGCTAAAACATAGAAATTGCAGTAAAATAGGATATGAGGGTAAAAGAAGATCATTTTCAATGGTTAAAGTACATAAACCTACTCCAGATGGGCCTGGAATTAAATTATGAACCTGTAACTGGCATAAAATGTGGTACTTCATCTTAAAATGTACACTATACAAGTTAAAAGAGGCTATGAAGCAAGTAGCTCTAGAAACCTTCCACAGGCATCAACTCATCAATACAGAGCTCTGTCATCAAATAAAAAACATTTAAAAAGTGGATAGGAAAGAAATTGCTTCCTCTTTAAAATAAATTATCCTTAGCTCCCCGATACTCCAGTGTCTGCAAACAGAAACTGCACAGCAGTCTACTGCTAAAACGGTGTAGATTTTTAACAGCTTAAACTGGACTGTGTTAGATCCATGTCACGCTTTTATCATCTTGCCTCTGTGTATGTTTTTTGTTTTTAAGAAATGCATTCAAATCCTATATGTAAAACTTTTTGGGCTGGTCCTGCAAACTTTACCCATTTAGCTAGCTGCCATCATCATTTACTGTGTGCTGGGGTGGTTAAGAGTTAAAATGTGTGTGTAAGCTGCCGCAGTGGCTCTCAGAGTGTTCCCTTGGGAATGAGATGCATTACTGTTCATGTTACAGTAAACAGACTTCCATTCTCACCTGTCTCTTACCCATCTTCTCTGAGGTTATTACCTCAACTCCATCTATTATGCCCTCCTTTATTTTCTTCCCCTGCCTTGATGCACTTTACCTAAGCTGTCTTTATTTCCTTTTACCCTGCATTTTTTGCCTTCTTCCCAACTGTCTTGAAACCCACTCACTTAATTTAATCTTCCATTTAATGGTTCCCCAAACTCCTTGTCTTCATCTTCATGACATCCTCCCAACCCCCCACCCTCTGCAGGAGAGTACCAGTATGGAGTATATAGGGCAGGTGATTGTCCCTCTAGAGACACTGCAAGCTGCACCACTGCAGACTTTCCCTGCAATGTACCATAAAAATAAATATGGAAGAAGTTACAGCAGCACACAGGATGCACCTTTGAGTGTCTTCAAGCAAGTCAAGGCTTACATAAGGGAGATAACACAACCAAGGTTGGGACCTATTTAAGGAAAAAAACGACACAAGCACGTTATGTGTTTAAAAGGCGTGTACTGAAGTTCTCATTGAAAACCCGTCCTAAAGAGTTTTGATCGAATTTTCAATTTTCTTTCCAGCCAACACTTAAGACAGAATGAATCACTAACAAAAAGCATGACAATACCAGCATTGCTCAACTCAGTAAAATGAGGCACAAAAGGTTTTTACCCACCAATCACCAGGCATCCTGCAGGCCAGCTGTAGGGATCATTCAGGAACAAGGAGACCACCTGAATAGGGTCAACTAGAATACCGTACCTGGGAGATTACAAAAAGAAAGCGTGGTAATCAAATATTTTCATTTTATGAGTTGCTAGTTCTGCTTTGTGACTTAACTTATACTATTTTGTTCATTGGTTTAAAGCAAAGCAAAAACAACAGCTGACCTGCTGGAGAAAGAAGCAGAACAGGAAAACTATTCAAATAATCGATAGAAACTTACTGTATCCCAAGAATGTACTCACCTTAACAGGTTTTCCAAGAAGAGGCGTGCATTACTCAGGACCTGCAATAAAAAGGAGAAGTTCAATTTAACATGGTGTAGAAATCTCAGTTTGCTTCAGTGACACTACCACTGCTCTGCCCTTTAATTTCATCAACTCATCCTCCTTTTTCCCTCTCCCCCACATCTCCCAACTTCACATCTGTTTCCTTTTCTTATCTTCCACATTCCATCCTCCTTTTTATCTCTGCTGCTGTTTTTAAATGGACTATAATATTGAATTGCTAAAGACAAAAGCCTGTGACTGGTACAGTAATTCAGTCATTTAGAGGGAGGCTAAGTCTCCTGCAATGAACACAGTTCTATGCCCAAAGATATTCACTTGCTTCATGGTCATCAGTCTTCTCTTGTATTCTGTCCTTTCTTGTCAGAATAAATGAGGGGGAGCTGAAAAATCATCTAACGAGTGTCACACATACTGAGCATGTGAGATAGCTTTACCTCACAGAAAAATTAATCCTGACATTTTGGGAAAAATTAACAATTAACAATTTAGGAACCTTGAGTTGGGAGTTCAAATATTGAATTTGACAAATCAAAAGGTTCAGATTAGGAGTCTATCAAAGACATGCTGGTGCTGATGTTAATCATGACATTAAAAACCTGAAATATCGATGTTGAGTTAATAATGGCCAAATGATGATATTGGGCATTCATAAAACTGCACGCCTTACCAGCAGCACCACACACCAGTTGAGCACCCCTCTGTAGTTGTTGTAACCACTGGCTGAACTCAGAAGGGACTCTCTTGTCTTGTGACAGCTGCAGAAATGAAGAGGAAGGATGAATGGGTAAAATGACCAGGAACTTAAAAACCCTGGGACACATTTTTCATATAAAGTCGAACAAGACACATTTGTCATATATGGCACAACCTACTGAGATCTTCATGAAAAGATTAATAGACAGGGAGATGATATCCAAACAGGCAAAATACAGCGACGTAGAAAGCAAAAGAAAATGTGACTTCTTTTTTTTTTATCTTACAAGTACCTAGTTTGTTTAGAATCATGGTTGTATTAAAAATAATAGTAACAAAGATCAATACCACTACTAAATGACACTAGATTAATAGCAGACAAGTGAGTGGAAGGAAAAATCCTTAAGACAGTGTCCCAAGACTTTGTTTTTAAACCACTTTTGGTTGTTGAAGGAAAAAATTTTAAACCCCTTCAATGAAAAACAAATAGTGCAGTAACAGTCTCCACAAACACAGCTACCTTCTCTGGGCTGAGCACATTTAGGATGGAGGGCACAGAGGGAAGCTGTTCTATTGTCCGAGAGGTTAAATAAAGAAAATACTATTCAGAAAGCACAGAGGCTAAATGTGAACAGCTGTTATCTTATTGTGAGAACTGTATGAGGGTGCATTACAACAACTGGCACATCTCCCAACGTCCCTGTTGATGCCAAGATACCCGCTCAGAGCCACATGTGAAGCCATCTTGAAAAACACGTTTTACAGGTAAGGCCTTGGTCACTTTAGCAAGACCAGGCCTAACAACAGCAGGTGATGGACCAGACCTGCCACCAGGAAACCGGAGTTGTTGGAGGTGATGCAACACACCAGAAAATATTTCCTAAATGTGTAGCAGGAATAACATAAATAAATAAACAAATTAAAAAAAAAGTTTTCAACTGGCAACAACGTTTGCCCTTGTTTCTGCATTTATCTACCCACAGCAGTTTTAGTTGGACAGATACGAGCGAACTGACTGCCAAACAAATGCTCTCTGCGTAGCCATAAGTATTCGGGCATTTAGCAACCGGACAGAAATTAGATAAAAGTATGAATGGCTGAATGAATCAATGACAACTAACACGAATACAACCGGGGCTTGTTCTTGCTGTCCTCAGCCGACCCTGCGGCCCAGACGACAACACTTTAATGTCTGCTACACTTTCAGAACAGTGAACGTTACTTTTATTGTGACCCAGAGGCAACACAGCGGTAGGTACAGATGCTTAAAGACTAATCAAACGACACTCCCGTCACATACTTCAGATTTTTGGTGAACTCACCCCAACCTGTCGCTCACTTCGTTATTGCGTTTCTTTTTCTCACTCTTCTTGGTGGGTCGCTCCAGAGAAAGGTCTCGTTTCTTCGGCCCATCGTGAGCGGTCCGGTCGGCGGTCCCTGAGCTCGCCGGCGGCCCCGCAGAGCTCCCGTTCTCCGGCCTCAGACCCGCGCCCCTGAACGCAGCAAGAGTCGCCCTCCTCCTAAGAGTTCCGTTCGAGTCACTCATGGTAAACGTGTCACTCACAGGTCGTTTTTCAACTTATCACCCCGCAGTGTGTCATGCTTGTGAGCACAGTGCACTTTAACACACGGGTGGGGTTCTGTAGTCTTAAAAAGAGGGAAGGGAATTGTGAAATAACCCACACAAGGATCAGGTTTCAAACCAGTTGAAACAGAGGGGGGAGTGTGTTACTGACGCCACCCAAATGAAGTGGCACAGTAACTCATTGAACTCTTACAAACTCAGTGAATCAGACCCTGGGGCCTTAGCTGTTCATTAGCTGACATTCTGAATTCATTCATTTCACCGGAAACAAAATTGTTAGGCTACATATGTGTTACTATTTACACTTGTGATCATTGTCATTATTTGTGGCAGCAAACATGTGGAATGTATACGCATTCCCTGAATAAGTATTTAATTGTCCAGTGGAAATATACCTTTTCTTCCTGAAAAATCTCCCTGTTAACTAATATGTTTCTTTAAACCTGACCACAACCAGGTATCACACTCACAAAGTCTCCACAATCTATTACCTCTTTTCTTTGGCTCACTAAAGCCTTTCTGTTTCCAATTAGGTCAAACATTGACATTTGCGTATGCCCATTTGTTTTCAATTATTCTGTTGTGAATTCTACATTTTCCAGCCTAATGGTTCAGCCTGTATGTTTCCCTTTTATAGTATTTATAGTATCTTGTTTAAACGGTTTCATATGTATTTTAGACATACATAAGCAACTGGGGGTATAAACAACATTATTTGCTGCATTCTGAATTGAATTATCTTCTTCAACAAGCCATACTTTTAAGCCAATCAGCCTTTTTTCCGCTGTGCAGACTAATTTTCATAGACCTATGAAAACTGGATTTGTTTTACAGATGAAATTGTATAGCTGTCTTTTTTTATCTTAGAAAATCAAATATCCTTTTTTTACTAAATGAAAAAGCTGAAGGATCATAGTTACATTGTTTCTTTTAAATAGAAGTTAACCATATATAAAGGTTTGGTATTTCTTAATATGATTATTATCATACCAATTTTTTCCTTTGAATTTTGTCCATATCATGTGTAATCTATTACTATCCAACCCGGCTATTCACAGAGCTCCCGAACACAAGCAGAATAAGCTGAATATCCACCACATTCCATATGATAGCTGCTACAGATCTGTCATCACAAATCACGCATTACAGGATCCGTTATGTTTCTGTTTTTCTTATCCAAGCTGTCTTGAAGTTGAGGTTCAGGGAAAGCAAGTAAGTATGCTAAAGGATGCTGGGCCTAATGATGAGCGATAGTGTAAGTACAGCTAAGGCAGATAATGTCTCAGGCTGACAATGCAGACCTGAGTCATTAGGTTGAGTGAATAATCCCTGAGGAGTAAGAAAACAGCAAAGCCTTTTTTTTTTGTTCCACTCTTGATAGGACCAAACTTCATATTTGAGTTTGCTAGTTATGAGGCTATAAAAACTACTGTTCCATTCTCGGTCTTGTGGATTTTAAAGAGTATTAAAGTCTCACACAGCCACTTGTGAGTAATATGGATTATTAGTCTAGCTACAGAGTTAAATCTCTGTGTACTGTTTTGCCAAAGTACATTAGTGGTGAAACTGGAGGCATTATTAGTTCCCTATAATGAATCAGGTGTGGATCTTTTTCAACAACATTGCGGACGGTGGAAGAGAAAACAGGTGTATCACACTTTGCATATATAAAGACTTCTGAAAAGCTTTTGTTTCATGTGAACGCCCTCGCTTGTCTGTCTTGGTTCTGTGTGCTTATCCATACTAAGGTGAGGACTGATCAGTAGCATTGATCCAGCTTTATCAGTCCTTCCTGTCTATAGGCTTGTCTTTTAGAGTAATGAGCCTGTCTGCACTTGTTTGGATAAGAGACCTTGAGGAAGGATCAATAAGTAACTTATAACTAATTATTTGAAGTGTCAAACTCCTTGGTGTCTCTCATTGCATAGTTTTTTTGTGCGTGTTTTTCTTTAAAAGGACTATAAACGTTGTTTGTTAATCATGATAACAAATGAACATATCTGCTGTTCTCTTATAGAAAGACCTTTCTTTGTCTGGGATATACTTTCTTATTTCAAGGCTAAATTGTGTGATCCCTTAATAATCTCACCATGGCACCAGTAGAGGGAAAGTTTAAATCAATAATCTATTTTTTGGGGGGCGGATAATTTGTTCATTGCCCAATTAAATCTGTTAAGACTTATATCATCAACCCATCACAGAAATACATCAACAATCTGTTGATGGCTTATTTTTCCCCTTCTTTTGTTATTAGAGAACGTGTAAATGAAAAAAGTACCGTCAGATTGTTAACAATCTCCTTGATAAATCAAAAGTTGGGTTTTACTAATAGAAGAGCAGGAAATAGGAATTGTTGCTAATTTTGAACTCAGAGCCTTTGCTTGGCTGTAACACTCATAGTCCACTCTGTTGCGTGCTGGCCTCCTAATGCTATACAGAATGAGTTATTTTTGATAACAGAAGCCATCTAAAATTTAAAGAATAAGAGGTTTCAGCAATGTATTATTCATTATTTCTGTAGGGCGTTATGAACTGAGCCTCTCCACAAGTTTCTGTCTGAGCTCAAAGAGGCATGTAGAGATACAACCAAAATATTTTTCCATTTTTCTTTGCATCTATGTCTTCCTTCATGTGCACTAGAATCAAAATGCATTTTCTTTGAATCTTTTATTATTTTGAGCCGATGATTTTATTCACATGCATGTATTTATTTATCTGGTTTGATTCAAACAAATCATTTTCCTCCAACAAACATGCTTTCTAATGGGCAGCTACACCCTACCAGTTAAGGTGTGACAAAATTGGTGCTTTATTTAAGTAACTTTGGAAAATCTCTTTGCGTTTTCCTTTTTTTTAAAGGGTCCATGTTTCTTAATTCCTGTTTTCCTCTTTAGTGCATGTCCACCACTGGTCCTTGTGAATGATTGTTGATATATAGGCAGATACAGATTTCTGGACGGCAGTATAAAGGTATAGAAAAAGCTCTACAGACCATCACTGACTGATGCTGATGACAACTTTGCGTCACACAGCTCTGTGCATGCGTCGGCCTTGAAGAGTTATTTTCTCCCTTAAAGGACACTGGTTTTGCACCATAATTTGTAATATGTGTTTCTCCACTTTAACATGATGACATATACCTATAACACATCTGTCCTGAGTCTATTGTGTCATTTTTGAGCAGTTGCTGCATATAATAAAACCACCATGATATGGACTTAGAGTTAGCCAGAAAATAAAGCAAAAAAAAGCTCCCCAAAAATCAATCTAATGAAGAAAGTCCAGATAACATTGGGTCAGTCTGTCTATGCATCTAACTGCTTTGTTGAAACATGTGTTTAAAAAGGTTTGAATACTTGTGTTAAACTGTCTCAGCATTCATGCTTTTGATCCAGGCTGTAAAGGAGAGTGAAAGTGACCGTGCGGTTGGAAAAAAAAAGAAAGCTACACTAAGCTGATAGATTTGAGGAGTGATGATAAATATAGAGGAAACATGAGAGAAAGAGCAAGACAGGTGGATATAAAGAGAGAGGGATTCCACTTTCACTTCACAGTACATCTCCATCCCTCTTCTCCCTCCATCTGGAGAGGCAGAGGGAGCAAAAATGTGTGTTTGCCCTTGCAGGTTGTAATGAAGCTGTGGCAGGATAGATGACTCACTTTAACATGGGCAGAGCAACAACACACACTCCGACATCACTCTGCTGACCTGTGTGGGTGTGTGTGCAGGCGCGCTTACACGTGTGACAACAGACTGATGCTGATTATGCAGCTGACAGGCCAGAGTGATAAAGGTGTCACTAGCTAGACAGAGAGGTGTAGGACGTGTGCGCGTGGTGTTTTTGATGAACTTCCGCATGTGTGCGCCGAACGTGTTTCTGCACACCCTGGCGCCTGTTGCAACTGCAGGCCCATAAATCTGCAATCAGGCATGCAAGTGTGCAATTTCCTGTGCGCGCGTTCATTAATACATGACTGCGCGTGTTTTCGGGCAAGTTCCAATTGACATGCACCTGTGAGTTTGTGGTGTATAGGTGTGTCTGGCAGAGAGAAACACTGCATCACTGAGAGACAGATAGAGGCGTCATGCCGATGTTAGATGGCTGAGCGCCACGTCAGCACTTCTGCAGTTCAGCCAAGGACTCCTGTACACTTTGTCCATCCATCTCCACGATTTTGAGGGGGAATGGAAAGAGGAGGGAAGGAGAGCAGAAGAAAGGACGACAAGTGAGAAGCTGGATGAAGAAATAACCGATTGTAACCTTATGTTTTTTCCGCACATACCCTGAAACATCTGTTTGTACGGCTGCCAGAAAAACTACTCCCTCCTATGACCCGATCATGGTCAATTCAGATGTTTTGGCCATACTGAATTAATGATCGCTGAGCTAATTTTTTTTCTGTGGAAAAATAGCTCCTCTCATCCAAGGGCCCTCATTTCTCTTTAATTCCTGTTTGAAAAAAACCTTCCAAAGATGGTTTGTATCTGCAGATTTATTGGCTTCTTTGTAAGCAGCATTCCTTTTTACAAGTATCAGTCATCATGAACTTTTTCATATGTGCCTCAGCCTTCTTACCTCTGCTATGGACAAAAGCAGACCCCCCCTCAATTTATCATTCTTATAAGCAAACACTTCTTTCACCACATGCTGTTCGGCCTGGCAAAAAACAGTTTTATCAAACTGAGACATTAATCTGAAAAAATAGGAAAAAGAAAATGTGTTTTGTTTAGTAGTTCTGAATCAGAATAGACCAAATCTGATTGAATGGGAAAGATTAACAAGAGGTTTTGGCTTTTAAAGACCTCCAGTGGTGTACTAACATTAGAAAGCCGAAGCTACACAAAATAAACACAAAATAAGCCCAATGTTTATTAGAAGAATTTAACCTTGCGTTGTTGGTATATGAGCTCTGTATCAACATCGGATGAGAAGAGTAAATTAATTTGGCATATGATGAGTAGTGTCTAAATGTGACTGCAAAGCAAATGAGTGGAAATGCAGATATCACCGTGTGGCTGGCCATCACAATTTATATACAAACAACAACTAAAAATTTTTTAATAGTATGCTCTTTCAAAATGTGTTAACCTCAACCATCTTTTCAAACCTGTTTTGGCACAAATTTTCACCCCCAAGAAGACTTTCTCTATATCTAAATTATCTTCATCCCATTGTGAACGTTGA